GTCTGGGGGCTGCACCACAAGACTCCAGTAAAGCGAAGCAGCTGGGGAGGGTTGGGGGGCTCCTTCAGAGCAGCTCAGAGGGCTGGTGCAGCAAACCCCACTGCAGGGCACCCTGGGGCTTACCCCAAACTCCCACACATGCCTGTTCTACCTGTCCCCAAGATCAGCCCTTCATCTGTGGCCCCACCCACAGATCCAGGAGCCTGAGAGATGAGGAAAGGAAGTGTGAACACCAAAGCCCAGACAGCCAAGTGACTACCTGGCACAGTCTGCCAAGTGTGGGCACAGGCAGGAAACCACAGCCCCCTCCCTCACAGTCTGCGAAACTCCTGCTGGGGCGGCCTCAGCTCTCCCACCACTTTTTCACCCTGAGAGGCAGCACGAGGGCAGCGACCTGAATGGGGGTGATCGGGGCCTTGAAGGCAGTGGGGCCAGGACTTGGACAGGCCCCTCCCAGAGGGCAGGTGAGACCTGGCCCTCAGCACTGACCATTAGGTGTCTCCTGCAGGAAGCCACCTTTCCCCAAGGCCCGTCTTGTCCTTTCAGGGACTCACCTGGCACCTGCCGGGGAGAAAGAAGCAGAGGCCAGGATCCTAGCACCCCAGAGAGAGGTCAACTGGGGTGAGAGCTGCTGAGCAAGGTGTGGGGCAGGAAGGCAGGCCGGCTTGGGAGGTCCCTAGAGCCCCAGAGGAATTATACCGGTTCTTTTTTGCCTCTTCTTCCATCATCGTCATCATCATCATCACCGTCGTCGTTGTTACTATTACTGTTTTCTACCAAGACTTCAAATAGAGGGTTGTGTGGCTGGGGCTGTGACTTGGAAATGTCAATGTTTGAGGAAACCTGGGGATTGGCTCCCTGGAACTCCTCACCCCTCGAAAGAGCTGTGTCTGGCGGTGGCATTCCTGGGTGGGGAGGGACAGGGGTCTCCTACAAGATGGAAACCATTATGTCACCAGCTGGGTGCCCTGGGCTCGTGCCTACTTGCTCTCAGGATGTGCAGGGAAGAGCTCTGGGGCCAGGCAGATTGGAGCCCAATCCCAGGTCCGCCACCTCCTAGCTGGGTCATCCTACGAGAGCCAGCCCACATTTCTGGCTCGCCCTGTCCTCACCCAGAAAATAAGGGTTCATGGCATCCTGGTCCATGCCAGCCACTGAGCTGGGTGTGGAGATGCCAGTTGCATCAGAGAGAGGAAAACACAAAAAGTTGCTGCATTCTAGAGGGAGAAAGGGGAGAGCTGGGTGATAGAAAACATATCGAATCAACATAATATGTCAGGTGACAAGTGCCACGGGTTGAAAGGAAGCTGAGTCATGGGGTTAGGGAACGTGGGGCTCACAGCGTCATCCATGCCGCACTGCCTGAACAGAGCAGTCAGGGAAGACCTCTCTGAGAGGAAGTGAGGGTGTGGCACTGGGAATATCTGTGAGGAAAGAAGAAAACTGCAAATGCAAAGGGCCTAAGGCCATAGTGAGCTGGGCACGCTGGAGGGAGAGCAAGGAGCTGGTTCTGCAAGAGTGAGGGGTCGGGGGCCACGAGGTCAGGAGGCCAGCTTGGGGCAGACCACAGAAGCTCCGTGGAAAGGTCATGAGCAGAAGGGACATTGTGTGACTTTTGTTTTAAGAGGATCCTCCCGCTGCTGTATTGAGAGCAGACGGTGGGCACCAGGAGAGGAAGCAAGTTATCAGCCTATTCTAAAAATCCACATGGACCAGAGCGTTAGGCATGGAGGAGGTGAGAGTGTCATCTTCTGGAGACGTGGCGAAGGTGTGCCGAGGGGCTGGATGTGAGTGAGAGGGAAGGAGAGAAGGCCAAGGTGAGTCCTAAGGTGGAGCGGCTGTGGACTATCTGGGGCAGGAGGCCTGGACGGGGCAGGAGTAAGGAAGTAGGAGTTCGGTTTGGGACACATTACATTTAAAGTGCCTGTTAGACACCCAAGGGAGATGTTACAGAGACAGTTAGCAAGCATAGTCTGGAGATGGGCGAATGGGAGTTCTGAGCATATCGACGTGGCAAGTGGACCTCGCCGAGAGGCGTCATCAACAGAGAGAAGAGAACTGAGCATGGAGTCCTGGGGCCCGGGGGGCTGGAGCCAGCTGAACACACACTCGCAAGTGCCCAGTGAGGGACCCTGTCCATCACTGAGTAAGCCTATTCCAATTACACATTCCAGAATCGGGGTAAGAAAAACACAGGATGGGTTTGGGGACCCATTGGACCCACTGTGAGACGGACCTGAGCTAAACCCACTGACGGCCTGACCACCATAAGTCTCTACTGTGTCTGGTGGGCCACAGCGACGTTGGAGGTCTCCTGACATTATTGTCGGTTCACAGCCAGCGTCCAGTAAACCTAGAAAAGTCTGATTATTTCCTTTCCCCACGCACAGTCCCCCGGTGCAAAGGCTGTAAGCCCCTTTGGGGAAGCCTGGGAGACAGGTGAAGAGTATGAGGTTTGAGCAGTGTACCAGGCTCCCCTTACCCCAAGGGGACCTGATTGTCCATTTTTAAGAAAGTTTACGAGCCTGTTGTCAAACACAGTCATCATTTAAAATTAAACTACGTACACTTACGATTAAATACATTATTTTAAAAACAAAGGTAATAAATACTCACAATGCGTCACTTATTAGTGTACTGCATCCTACCATTAGTCTTTGCTCCGGAGGTCACTTACCTCCGTGTGGTAGAAACGTTACACATGGGGCGCTACTGTGGATCTCTTCGCAACTCTGAGTTCAGTGACTTGAAATTGGCCATCGTGGGAGTGTTTACACCATGGAAGAGGTGGGTTTCTATGGCAACTAATTACATAGTGATGAAGGTCATGAAAGGTGGGAGGATGGATTCCTGAAGGTATAACGGTTCATGGGGATGGTGAGGCCATGAGTGTGGGGTCAGGGAAGTGAGTCTGGCCTGAGCAACCTGTGGGGCTCAGGGGCCCCTTCCTACCCCAGCCTCATCTGTAGAAGGAGGGGAATAGTAACTGTCTTGTGGGGCTGTGGTGAGCATCACAGAGCGAGGCGCTGAGTAGGACTGGGATTGCTGTATGTCACCATTGTCAATGGAGGCAATTTTGTGGGGACAGAGTGACCATGGTGGTAGGGAAATGTGTCTGGTTTCTCTAGGGAGTTTAATGTTTGGGTGGGTAGGTTCTCAGGGGTCCAGGAAAGGATGGAGGCCGGAGGATATATCAAAGGACCCCTCTGGCCCTGGCATCTTTACAGTCAGATGGGCATTTGTAAGTAGACTTGATCTGGGGTGGTGACCTCGAGGCTGATGCTTCTGCCCTGGCAGGTGGCAGTGGGGAGCCCTGGCATGTAGGGAGGGAGAAACAGCGATGTGTGGTTTCCGCATCTGACTTCCTTTCTAGGCTGTGAGCTCCGCATGGCCCAGGGCCTCATGGAACCCTGGGACTTAGCACAGTGCTCAGGATGGAGAGGCGGATGTTTATTGAGGGGATGAAGGGCACAATGCACCCACAGAGGCCCTGCTGGCTTAGCTCCTGGTGCCTGTAGCCCAAGTTTGCACAGTGACCCCTCCTCTATGGCTCAGGAAGGCTGTCCCTGCATGCTGTGGCTGGGGGCAGCTGGTGGTATGAGGAATGGTGTGGAGGCCCAGAAGATGAGTGCCCCAGGCTGGGGCCTGGCAGACTGAGGGCTTCTTGACCCCCATTTCTGGAGCCCAGAGCTCTGGGTACCAGCTGGATATGCTCTACGAGGTGGTCGGGGAGAAGCTGCACTGAGTTCTGGCACTAGGCAAGCCCTGTACAGCTGAGTACAGATGGGCCTGAATCACCCTGCAGACTTGGGGAAACTGAGTCCATTCATTCATTTAACAAGGGTTTATGAGCACCGACTATGTGCCAGACACCATCACAGGTGCTGGGGACACAGCAGCGAGCAAAACAGACAAAACTCCCAGACCTTGGGGAGCTGACCTTCTAGCAGGAGAGATGGACAATAAACAACAGCACAATTAAGAATCAGAGCAGAATAACAGGGATCGGGAGAGTGGGGGAGAAGGCGGGGCAAGGTGCAGCATTAAATGGAGTGATGGGGGCGCTCACTGAGAAGGTGACAGTTAAGCCAAGCCCTGAAGAAGGTAACGGAGTGAGACTTGTGGTCATCTAGGGAAAGAGCATTCTATGCAGAGGCAACAGCCAGTGCAAAGGCCCTGAGGCAGGACAGCCTGGCAGCTTCATGGAAGAGCAAGGTCAGAGTGGGAGAGGGAGAGTATAGTAGGGAGGAGGAAGTCATGAAGGTGGCAGGGGCAGATCAAGAGGGACCTTGTTGCCACTGCGGGGACTTTGACGAGTGTGACAGGAACCACTTCTTCTGAGCAAAACAGAACCACGCAATCTGGCGTGTGCTGTGTGCGGAACAGACTAGAAGGGGCTCGGTAGCCTAGGAGACCAGTGAGGAGGCTGCTCAGAAATCCAGGGGGGCAGGGATGGCAGTGGAGGTGGTAAGAGGTGGTCGGCCAAGTGATTTCCTGTTGGATTAGAGAACTTGGAAGCATGAAAGCGGGAAGCCTTGGGGTGAAGTGGGGTTGCCCAGAGGTTTGCTACCTCTGATCTATGGAGTCTTGGAGGTGCTGTTGGAGTAGAGGGTGAAACGTCTTGGCTCAGCCCCATCCCCAGCTCCCTTTGGTCTGTCTTATGTCCCAGTTCCACGGGAGGCCTGCTGAAAGGGCTCTGCCACCCAAAACAAAGCTCAGCACCATTGCTATGCTCCATCCCCTGATTTTACAGATGGGGAGACTGAGGCCAGTGGGTGATGTGCCCAGGTGGGTCACATGGGGGTCAGTGGAGAGCTCGGATGGAGCCCAGGCTACCTGGGGCCCAGCCAGGCCTGTCTCCTGGCCAGTGGCTCTCTCCCCACTGCTCCCCAGCCCAGCTGTTGGGGGTGCTGTTGGTGTGGCCTGCCTATCTCAGCCACTATCCCATTGTGGCCTCTCTCCTGAGACTCGGACCCTTTCCCCTTTCCTTTCTCTGCCAGCAACGTGCCCAGGGGCGCTGAGACCTTTGGGGTCTCTGGGAGGTCTGGGGTAGAGATCTCCGTGGTCTATGACCCAGCACGAGTGACAGAGCCCGCAGGCAAGGCCCGCTGGCCCCTGAACGCCAAAGTGGAGGTGATCATATCTGTGGACACAGCTAGTAAGAACTTCAACGATCTCAAGGTAAGAGACCCCTCCCCATTGTAAGGGGCTGCATCTCCCCACCCCCACCCAAGGTAAGAGGCCCCGTCAGCATACCCCCATTCATGTATCACCTCACTCAATCAAAGCCCACAAGGCTTTTGACACCTGCATCTCCACAACACACCCTGATACCACTCCATAGACACCTCAAATACGTAAGCATTACATATATATGCAAATGAATTCTCCTATAAAAACAGCCTGCCTATTCACCCCTCAGATTCACAAACACCCCCACATTAATCCTGCATTCAACCTAACACAGACGCCCAAACAAGCCCCCTACTGTCATGTAGGCAGGACTCCATAGCAACACCTGTGCACACACGTGCATGCAGACGCAGGTACCTATCTGGGTGTGCATGTGTCCCCCACACCTAAGCAATAAAGGAGGCTCCTCCTGCATAGATGACACCTCCCTCACTCACCCCCAGCCACCCACCACACACACAGCGACCCACTGATTGCACAGGGACAAAGCAGGGACTGTGAAGCCTTTGAGAGCAGAGACCCTGGAGCCTGCTGTGGGCTCAGATCCTGCCTCCTCCGCTTACAGGCCACGTGCCTGCAGGCAGGGCCCTGAGTGACCTCACTGCGAACGGGCTCTGTCTACCGGGACCACCCTGAGGGATTGTGGAGACGGCCTGGGAAGAGCCCTGGGCATGGGTTCTGGACCACGGGAAAAGCTCATGGCCACTGGATGTTATCACGGGGTGGGGGTCATTGTTCCCACTTTATAGGCGAAGAAACAAAGGCCTGGAGAGATTGAGGAACTGGCTGAGTCCATGGCGACAGCTGCCCCTCCCCTCATTCTCTCTCTCTGACATGCCCGTGGATTCCCGAGGGTCCAGCAGCTCCCTCCGGGATCTGCCCCCACCCCGTTCAGCCCTTTGTTCTTCAGCCCCATCCTAGGAGCCAGGGAGGCACCCATGACCTCTCTAGCCGGACAAGGCAGCTCGGAATCCAAGCCGGGAGCCTGTGAGACGTGGGCCTTGAACCTCGGGGACGACCTGGGGGCCCCATGCCTGCCCTGCCTCTAAGCAGGGCTGTTGGGAGGTGTTGGTCACCCCCACCGCCCCAGCCACCACCATCTCTGAAGGGGCGGCTGTGCTGGCTTAGGGCTGACCTTGTCCCCACAGGTGACAGTCTCCTACTTCAGGCGGCATGAGGACAATGCCCTGGGCCACAGCGTGCTCTATCTCACTGGCGTTGGTACGTACCACCTGCCTGCCTCTCTGTACTTCCCCTCACCCCCTCCGTATTGGCTGTTGAGGGTCTTAGAGGAGCACTGAATGCAAGCCCATGGCCAGCTCCCTCCACCATCAAGGCGTGTGACTTCTTCAGGGGACTTGTGTTCACTCTAGAACCTCAGGGACAGAGACCTAGCAATACCTAGAGTCACAGGAATCTAGAAATTGCTCTGTGTCAACAGATAGACACACAATGGGCCTCCTTGGTCCAGAGTCCCACCTGGTGCACCCAGTGGAACTCCAAGATCTAGCACTAAACCTTGGACAGTCCTGTGTCCCGAGCCTCAATCCCGGGCAGCTGGCTCTGAAAACTATGGAACCAGAACCCAGAGCCTCTGGCCTAAACCTCCACTGCCAGAATCAGGGCCACCAAGAGCTAGCAATTCAGCACACGTAGATGAGCAAGAAATTCAAGACCTGAAGACTCGGGTCCCTCTGATACCCAGCACCATGCGGGGCTGTCACAAGGGCCTCCCAGAACAGGACTTTCTGGTTCTCATGGGCTTGGGGAGGGGGTAAAGCTTTCTCCGACCTGAATAATATGTGTGTGAAGATGGGACTGGTGAGCCCCTCATGCCCCTTTCCATCCCTTTCCAGACATCTCCCTCGATGTTGACATAAACCGCAAGGGCCAGGTGAAGAGGAACCGAGGTGACAAGGTAAGACTCCCTGGCTACCCCAAGACAGCAGGGTTGACCGGCTAACCTGGGGATGGTCCTGGGGTGAGGTGGACCTTTTCTCCAGAAGAGTGATGGATTCCTAGGGTCTGTGGTATCTAACAGTGTAGGGAACCCACCTGGGGACTGCCAAATTGGCACAAGGGGGTGTTAACTTACACTATGTGATGGACATGCTGTGTGACTCCTGGAAAACTGCTTACCCTCTCTGGGTCTCTCTTATGCCACCTCAGAAGTGGGACTGGTTCTTTTGCTTGATACCTTTTCTATTTCCTGGGCTGTATTTGAAACATAGTAGGTGCTTCATAAAAAGTTGTTGAATGACTGAATGAAGGCAAGGAGAAGACAAGTAGTGGAGTCTGGGTAGACAGCCCCAGTTAGACCCTGAAAAGCGAGGAAGAGGATGGGGTGGGCTCAAGGCATTACCCCACAGGAAGTATCTGGAAGCTATCTTGGGAGGGTAGAAGATGTAGTTTACAGGGAAAGACCCCAGAGAGGAATCCCGGATCACAAGGCTTTGTGGACAAGATGGGGCAGGGATGCCATGGATGGCTGTGCAGGTTGTGCACTGCACAAAGTTGCTTGGGAAAGGTGGTGAGTGAGACTTATAATACAAATCACATCTTGGTCCCTGGCCCAGGGTAGCCCTGTATGGTCCCCCAGACCTTAGTTTGAATCCCATCTATGTGACTTGGGGCTCACTTCCCAGAGCCTCCTTTCCCTCTTCTGTGAAATGGGAACGTGAGCTCTGCCTTGTGGGGACTGGTGGGAATAAAGTAGAGGCACGTCAGGAAGAGCTTTGATCACACAGGCAGGGATCCAGCCATCTTTTCCGCCTCAGCTGGACCTCCCTGCAGGGACTGCAGAACTGTGGGTGGACAGGTCCCAGGAGAGTGGTGGGATGAGGAGGTGGGATGGGACAGGATTCTCTAGTCCCATCAAGGTAAGGGTGAGCAGGTTGGCGAAGGCCATTTCTCCCTTCCTTCTCCAGTGTGATGGCTAGGTGGGGCTGCTGTGTATGGTAGTGCAGGCTGTTCACTGCACAAGGGTGGAGTGGCTCTGCGTCTAGAGACCTGGATCTCAGTCCCCAAATCTATGAGCCTTCTTTAAATCTTTAAGCAAACCCAGGATACAAAAGTCTCCAAGCTAACAAAGCGGCCAGCTTTAGCCACATCCAGAACCCCGTCCCAGAGCCCCTTGGGTCCCACTGACTCCAAGGCCTCCTGTTTTGCCACAGAAAACCTGGCGCTGGGGCCCTGAGGGCTATGGGGCTATCCTGCTGGTGAATTGTGACCGCGATAGTCTCAGGTCCAGGCAGCGTGACCTCGCTAACAGCCACCTGATGTCACTGGATGGTGAGTGACAGAAGGGGCATTTGGCGTTGCCCAGGGTGATGGTGTGGGGTGGTAAAGCATCAGGGGGAGGGGAGGGGAGCCTGTTACTGGGGTGGGGGAAGGTTGTCTCAAGAATGCCACTGTCTTCAGACCTGAAGGACATGTCCCCAATGGTGCTGACCTGCGATGGCCCCGACAAGCTCTTTGACAGCCACAAGCTGGTCTTGAACGTGCCGTTTTCTGATTCTAAAAGAGTAGGGGTCTTCTGCGCTCGGGGTGAGTGGACTGGTGGGGATTCTTCCCACCCTGACCCATCCTCTGCTTCCCAAAATCTAGCTTCTCTTGTCTACATCCCTCCCTTCTTTCCATCACTTTTTGTAACTCTCACTACAACTTACAAACAGACGTTCCATCAGGACACAAGATATTACCCAAGAAGGAGGTTTGATAGCTAGTTTCATTTTACAGAGAGGAAAACTGAGGCTCAGATGCATGAATTCACTGCCTTAAGGTCCCACAACAGTTTGGGGTGGAGCAGGTCCCTCGAGAGCCAAAGCCCCTTCTCTTTCCACTGCCCCGTCTGTTTCCCTCTTTCCTCCGGTCACTCAGCGCGGAATGAGCCCGCAGTGCCCGACAAGCACGGTCCAGGCAGGGTGAGGTAAGGGCAGGAACTAGCAAAGCTGAGCCCCAGGCCTGCCCTCAGAGCTCGGCTCTTCTGCCAGAGATTTCATTAATCAAAGAAAATACCAACCCTTAATCCTGAGGTGCCTTTACTCATTTTTATAAATAGCAAGAGGCCTCTCCTGCCTCTTCCTTCTTCCTCTTTACGCTCTTCTGTTCACATTGACCCAGAACTTGTTGTTCTGGCTAAATGAACCTGGCAGGAAGCAGAATGTTCCTTTGAATGTGTCAGAGGTGGGAGTTCAGGCAGAGGCCGGCTTGAAAACACTTACCATGACATCAGAACACAAGTAAAGTCCCAGTGAGTGAACTGACAACCTTTTCTTGCTGTGACTAAGAACATGCCAGGGTGGAATTTCCCTCCAACCCTCCCAGGAGGAGAAAAGGGGACAGGGAAGAACTAATGCCTTTTTTAACTCAATTTTACTTTTATTCAATTTTTTTTTCTTTTCTTTTCTTTTTTTTTTTTAAGATTTTTATTGGGGAATTGGGGGATGGGAACAGCACTGGGGAATTGGGGGAAGAGGAACAGACAAGTTGCTGTCCTTTCGTTCTTCAGTCTAGTTGTGGAGGACGTTGCTTCACTGGCCCAAGTTGGCGCCATCATTGCGCTCTTCCCGGGCGAGGCAGATCAGTCGCCGGCTTCTGAACAGCTGCTCACTGCGGCTGCTGGCCGCTCACGCTGGCTGCTGACTATATACAGTAGCCCATGGCAACCCACTGCAGTAGGAGCTGCAGCCTACGCTGTCTCCAGAGACTCACGGCAGCCCAGCTCCAGGTTGAGCTGTTGTTCAGCATCTTAGCTGTAGAGGGCAGTGTCACTGGCCCTCATATGTGGGATCCGAACCGGGGCCCTCTGGCATCCCAAGCCAGTTCTTAACCAAGGTGCCACTTGGCCGGTCCCCAATTTTTTTTTTCAATTGAGGTGAAAGTTGCATCACATAAATGTCACCATTTCAAAGTGAACAATTCAGGGGGATTTAGTACATTCTCAATGTTATGCAATCACCACCTCTTTCTGGTTCCAAGACATTTTCATCACCACCCCTTCCCTACCCCCCATAAGACCCTGTACTCATTAGCAGTCACTCTCCATTGGCCCTCCCACCCCCACCCCACCCCACAGCCCCTGGTAACCCCTCATCTGCTTCCTGTCTCTATGGATTTGCTTATTCTGGGCATTTCATGTAAATGGAATCATGCAATAAGAGGCCTTTTGTGTTTGGCTCCTCTCACTGAGCATAATGCTGTCAAGGTTCATCCATGTTGTAGCAGGTGTCAGTCCTTCATTCCTTTTTGTGGATGAACAGTATTCCACTGGATGGATATACCACATTTTATTTATCCAGTCATCAGTTGAGGGCCGTTTTCACCTTTTGTGCCAGCGGCCTTTATCTTTTTATCTGGTTTAAAGCTTATACTGACCTCATGAGAAATGTTAGCCCATTTCACAGATGAGGAACTGAGTGAGGCTCAGAGAGGTTGAGTCATTGAGCCAAGGTCACACAGCTTGTGTGTGTGGCAGAACTGAAGAGGAGCCCAAGCAGATCTTACACATAAGTGGCTGTGGCCCTGGTTTCCTCTCCTCCTGCCCTCACAGCCCCATGCCCCCTGTTCCAGCACTGGCTTCCCAGTGCTGACTCTGGTTCCCACAGGTGGGAATTCCCTCTCAGACTACAAGCAGGTGCTGGGGCCCCAGCACCTGTCCTACAAGGTTGAGCGGCAGTCAGGGGAGCGGAACATCAGATTCTACGTGGAGGGGCTCACCTTCCCTGATGCTGATTTCTTGGGACTGGTCTCTCTCAGTGTCAGCCTGGTGGACGTGGGGGTATGTATGGCTTTGGGGGTTGGGATAGGGGCTGAGGGGCTTGGGAGACCAGTTTGGAGGCTCCAGGGCTGGGCAGGCTGGGCGCCACGGGGTCTTAAGGCCTGATGGGGCTCCCTGCAGGGCCCACTGAGTCCTCATTCCCCCCCCAGAACCTGCCAGAAGAGGTGACCCTCTTTACAGACACTGTGGCCTTCCGCATGTCCCCCTGGATCATGACCCCCAACACCCAGCGCCCCCTGGAGCTGTATGTGTGCAGGTGAGGCCTAACCCCACACCCCCTGCAGCTCTCCCACCATCAGGAACAGAATGCTGTTCTGGGGTTGGCCCCTCACTCAGGCTGGATGGATTCATGGAGGGCACCCACGGATGGGTACAAGCTGGGGACAGGACAGGAACAGGCGGGGTCCAGTCTGCCAGCCCCACCTGCCTTGAGCAGCTAAGACTCTGGCTGAGGTCACTGACTTTACCTCCAGTGCACTGCCCCTATCCTGTCCCGCCTGCAGCAGCCCCAGAACATTTGGGGTTTAGTCCAGGCAGTGGGACCAGGCCCTGTTCAGGCTGCAGGAGACCTATCTCGCTGTGGTGTGGGTGTGCTTCTGGGCCTGCAGAGAACATGACAACCCAGCCTCCAGGATCCATCCCAGGTCCCTGGTCCTTCTGCCATCGCTCAGAATCCCTGTCAGGCCTCTTGATGGCCGGGTGAGCCTCGATTGGCAAGGCCACTCCAGGCCCCTGCATCACAGGTCAGACCAGTGGAAAGAGTCACAGTTGACTTGGAACATCAGTCAAAAGGTGGGGAAAGGGTATGGCCAAACAGGTTTGCTCTGCTTACCTGGGTCCAGGTGTGTACAGGTGTTCAGAGGGAATTCTTTCTTTCCCTTTGCTCACTAACCCCACCCTGACGACTTTGTTTAGGTCAATTGTGTGGAGCAGGAGTAGATGGGCTACCTGCCCCCTCACGACCACCTTAACTAGTAAGATCCAGGTCCCCTCTTCCATGGCCCTGCCGGCCTCGGAGCTCCGCCTCTGGGCTCCGCAGCCCTGGGCTCACCCCTCACCTTGTACCTACCATCTGATGTGATCTGGGGACATTATCCATCTCTGTCATTAGCCCATGAGCCTGTCTAGGGCAGGGACTGTGTCTGAACCCCTGCATCCTGCGGCCACACAGGGTTTAGCACAAACTGGATCAAGGCCATCCTATCCATCCCCTACCTCCCCGCCCTCAGGCCAAGGCCACAGTTAGAGGTCGTTATGACTGTCTCCCACCTGTGCTTTCCAGCGTGGTAGACTCTAATGGCTCAAATGAGAAATTTCTGAGGGACATATCTGACCTGGCATTGAAAACCAACTGCAAGCTGGTCATCTGCCCTTGGGTTGAAAATCGAAATGACCGCTGGATACAGGTGGGTGCAAAAGCAGACCCTGGGAGAGAGTGGGGGCGGCCAGGGACCCCGTCCTTCACTGGCTTTGGGAAAGGGGGCCTGCACAGGTTCCTAATGGCCTCGGTCTTTCTAGAGAAGCCAGGCTGCCTGGGTGCCAGGACCGGGGGTGTGGGGGGGCATGCAGCTTATAGGACCACTTCCCCGCTGTTGGCATCATTTGTCTATCCTGCTCCCCTCCAAATGCCCTCGTCCCAGACAGGGTCCTGTCCTGGTCGGGTCCCCAAGGAACCTCATCTCCATTCCTGCCCCTGCCCACTGTTCTCCCCAGGTCTTGGGGAGGATCTGCTGCCCCACCCTGCCCCAGGCCTGGGGGGGCTCATCCTGTTTTGAAAAACCATGCCCGAGGAAGTCACTGTGGCCTTTTCCTCTCTCCTCCCAGGACGAGATAGAATTTGGCTACGTGGAGGCCCCTCACAAATACTTCCCAGTGGTCTTTGACTCCCCCCGAGACAGAGGCCTGAAGGACTTTCCCTATAAGAAGATCCTGGTATGCGGCAAAGAGCAGAGTGGGGAACCCTTGGTGACTCCTCCTCTAGGACCCCCAATCGGTTTTGCTTGGTCCTGGTCCTTTTGGAGGCAAGAGGACACCGGCGGTGGGCTCTGGCAAATGGGGAGTCAGTGGGAACTTTGGGCAAATGTGCAAATGACATGCAAATTGCCCCTGTTTTGGGAGGGGTTGGCCAGCAAAGTCCTCCTTGGGTACCCTTCTCCCCCAAGGGGGAGCCAACAAAAGAGTCAGCCATGGAGAAACCAAACTGCCTTTTGGGGGGATGCACTCTTAGTGAGCCCTCAAGAGTCTTGATTTTATGAGCCAGGGCCTCTCTTCAAGTAACAAAGGTTTTCGGAACACCTACTATGTGCCAAGCACTATGCTGCCTCCTCCACATAAGAATAGGTCTAGTAACCGCATACTGAGTTCCGGACACTTTTCCAACTTTATAAGATTACTTATTTAATCCACAGGCCACACCTAAAGTCCTTCTTTACTGAGGCTCAGAGAGGTTAAGTAACTAGTCCAAGGCCACACAGCTAATTAGTGCTGGCACCAAGATGCAAAACTGGAGAGGATGCCTCCATAGCCTCTGAGCTTAATTGCTAGGCTAAACTAGGCTAGTCCGGAAGCTCATGGCCTCTGCCTGTTTACGGGCCTCCACTCCCCCACTACCTGGATAACCCCAGTGCCCAGGTAGGGGCTGTTATGGGAAAGTCGGGAGCTCCCAAACACAGAGTAGGGGCATTCACCCCAGCCTGGCAGGGTCAGGGACATAACCCAGACCCAGCGGAGGTGACAACGAACCCTGCAGGGTGAGTGTGCCAACCAGAGCTTGACTTTGCCAGGGCATTTTCCACTGATTTTCGCTTTTGTCTTTATCATTGCCGTCCTTCTATTTTCTTAGGGTTTAATTTGCCGTTTTTTTCCTAGCTGTTAACGGAAGCTAAGAGCTTTCAATCTTTTCTCCTCCTAACATATGTGTTTAGAGCTACGGCAGTTCCCTAGGACACAGCTTCACCAGCACTGCACAGGTTTTCATGCACTGTGCTTTCATTACCTTTCACTTCAAAATATGGTCTAATTTCCACTTTGATTATTTTTGTGACCCATTGGTCCTTGACAAGTGTGTTGACTAATTTCCAAACGTTTGGGGGTTTTCTGGTTCTTGTTCTGTTATTGGCTTAGACTCTAATAGCACCATGCTCAGAGAACGGCAGGGGGCAGGAGTGGATCTGTGAAAAGTAGGTAAGGGTTGTTTTTAAGGAAGTGGGAGTCCCCCAGGATTCCCCCTTTACCCCCCCCACCCCAAGAGCTGTCTCTTCCTGTTCCAACTGACCCTTCCTTCAAGGGTGGTCTTGCTGCTCCTCCCCCAGGGTCCTGACTTTGGATACGTAACCCGGGAAATCCCATTCGCTGGTGCCTCCGGCCTCGACTCCTTCGGCAACCTGGACGTCAGCCCACCCGTGACAGTGGGCGGCAAGCAGTACCCCCTGGGCCGGGTCCTCATCGGCAGCAGCTTTCCCAAGTGAGACGCTAGGGCGGGAGGGTGGCGGAAGGCACAGGGGCCCAACTCCAGCGCCCACCTTCCACCTCCCTCACCTCGAACACAGGTGTCCAGCCCGAAAAGTGGTCTTAACTTCCTGCATGGAATCCTAGAATCGGAGACTCGAAGACCTAGAATCTTCGATGGGAAAGGTCACAGACGCTTAGGAGAGTACTAGGGCCTACGGCCTTATTGGCCCTGTGTACTATTTTATGAGCTTCGTCACCAACATTAGATACATATATATCAGGAGGCCTCACATAAAAAACCAGATTTCTGGCTTTCGAAAAATCAGAAAAGATTGGGAGGAGAGGTACAGCCTGATGCAGAGGCAGGAGATGGACTTGCTGACCTCTCCCAGTAGGAGATCTAGGTAGCTGCTGTCCTAGCAACAGCTTGAAAGCGTCCAGAGGTCACCACAGGCTGTAGGTGAGCGAGGGGCTGGTCAGGATACAAGGCAGGAGGGCCTGGGACCTCTAGGCAGTCATTCGACTTCAGGGAGGGACCTGGAAGGAAGGAGCCCAGGCTTTGGAATCAGATAGACTTGCATTTGAGTCTGGACTCTGTCAGTCATGTGGTTTGGGGTACATCACCTAACCAGTGCTTACCACCATGCCTGGCACAGAGTAGGTACTTGATTAATTTATTATTTATTGCATGCCTACTATGTGCCAGGCACTGTTGACGGTACTAGGGATTTATCAGTGGAGAAAACAGATACATGATTAAATGAACAAATTATTTTATACTTCATACTTCAGTTCCTTCATCTGTAAAAATGGGCCTGTTAAGAATCCCTATCTTGGCTATATATCTGGCATTATAGGGGATAAAGGATTTACATCAGGTGTTGTTTAGCTGGCCCCCCAGCAGTGTGTCTGCCTTGAAGCAGGTTGGAATGCTCGGACAAAAGTGACTGACCACCTATGTGCCACAAACGTAACGCTTTACCCAAGTTTCCTCATTTAATTCTTACAACACCCTCATGAAGTTGGGAGGATTGTTACCCCATTTTACAGATGAGGAAGTTGAGGCTCAGAAAAATGAAGTGAATGCACTCACGTATGCATTCCTCTGCCAAGTCAATAAATATTTATTGAGATTTCCCATTTGCCAGGTCTGGGCCCCAGTGCTGGGGATAAAATGAATATTCTAGAAGCTCTCAGGCTCACAGAAAAGACCCCAGATAGGAAGGTGTGGGGTCTCCAGTGCAGCTGTGCCCCTACTCCATTAGCCATTGGATTGAAACCTAGGAACAAAGCTCTCAGTAGACAGATGGGGCCCTGAAGCTCGGAGAGACACAACTACTGCCTGAGACCACACAGCAAGTTAGTGGTGTAGTCAGAATCTGGGTCTCCTTTGTGGGGCACAAACTAAAATGTAACACTCAGGCTGCTGCCCTATGTTCCTGTCTTGGCTTCTGACCTTAGCAGTTAACAAAACAGACAATCTACATACATTCTAGCAGGGAGGAACAGACAATAAGCAAACATCATAAATAAGTAAATAATCTTGCATGTTAGATAAAGAAAGCTTTGGTGAGAAGTTGACATTTAAACAAAGCCTGGAAGGAAAAGAGGGGGGTTTAAAATGTGGCTATTTGGGAGAGAATGTGCAAGGGAGTGGAAACAGCCAGTGCAAAGGCCCTGAGGCAGGCGTGTGCTGGAGACATTAGAAGAACAGCAAGGAGGCCTGTGGGGCTGGAGCAGAGTGAGCAACCAGGCTTGGTGAGAAAAGGGGCAGAGTTAGGGGTGAGGTCAGAGAGCTTGGGAGAGCAGAGTTCAGATCATAACCTGGACCTGTGATTTGTACATATATCATAGAGTTATCATGAGGACTAAACAAGATAATTAGTGTGAGGAGCCTCAGACAGGCACACACCAGGTGCTCAACAAATGCTCTGTTCATTCTCTATCTTGGGCTCTCCAAGCTCTCCTCCCACATGTAACACACTCTTTTAGCAATGCTGCCTCCTGGTGGTGGCTTTTATGTACTCCAGAGAGCAGGTCTGATGCCTCTCAGGGCTGGAGTTACCTGGTCCATGCTCCGGCCTCCAGGCAGAGATTGGCAGCGTTCCCAGGAGGGACTCTACCCTTTCCCCAACCTTATATGTTTCTGATTCCTACCACTTTCTGCTCATGAACAATTTCTGAAGTCTAACTCATCTCTACCAACTCACTGTTTTTTAAGAAGTCTTTTAAAATTGCCAGCACTGTATTAAAATAACAGCAATACAAGAAAAAATTTCCCATGATCCTATCCCAAAAATCAAAGCAGTGTTGTCACGTGTCACTGCTTGTGTGGTCTTCCTTCTAGTCTTTGTCTACGACATATTCAAGTTCTACAGGCCATGGGCTACCACACAGCTGTTCAAAAGCATTAATATCATTCACAAATATTTTTTGAGCACCTATTATATAAGAGGATACAGCTGTGGACAGAGACAAAAATCCCAGCCCTTGTGGAGTTTACATTCTAGTGGGATGCCAGGCAGTAAGCGGGGCACAGACAGGAAAGCCATCAGCAGTGCCCAGGGCTGCCAATGAGAGGGCAGCGTCTCCCCAAGGTGACTGGGTGATTTGTACTCACCATCAAACTGGGCTGTCTCTTTTTTCTCTTGGAACAGTTTGAGTCAAACACTGGGGCTAGCCAGGAGCAGCTGGAAGCCCTGGCACAGAGGAAGGGAGAATGGTTCAGTGCACAGGTTCCCTTACATGCAGGAGACCCCAAACTCAGGAGGGGCCTGACATTCTCCCTGCCTGGAGGCCCTTCCCGACTTTGTCCACCAGGAAACTCAGCCTCCCCTCTCAGGCTGCTTGCTCCCTGAGGGCTGTGCCCTCCCTGGCCACCTCTGCAAGGCGGTGAAGCCACCTCCTCCTGCCTGAGCCCACTGTCTGGGTTTGAATAGCAAGTGTGCCAAATAGTATTATATGTTGCAGAGAAAAATAAAGCTGGGAAAGGGGGACTGTTACAATTTTCAAAGTTCTCCTAGAGAAAGAAGGTGACACGTCAGTTAAACTTGAAAAAAGTGAGGGAGTAAGCCCTGGGGATACGGGGAGTGGGTAACAGTTCCTGATAGAAGGAACAGCACATGCAAAGACCCTGAGGCAGGAGTGTACCTGGTATGTTCAAGGGACAGCAGGAGGCCAGCGTGGCTGGAACTGAGCAAATGAAGAGGGGAGTCGCAGGAGGGGTTGGTTTGTCGGGATTGGTGGGTCCATTCAGGTCATTGTGAGGACTTCTGCAGTGAGTGAGACGGAAGGGACATGATCTGAAATGTTTAAAAGCCTCCCTCTGGTTAGACTGTGAGGGAGCAAGGGTGAAAGCAGAGAGATTTGGGGGAGGGCAGCCACTTAGTGAGGGAGGTATCACTGGCCAGGTGGTGGTAGAAGAGAAGCTGGGGAAGGGCTGGACTGTTTAAGGTAGAACCACCAGGCTGGATGTGAGCTGGGGAGTTCATCCGTCTGTTTTTTTTTTTGTCGGGGAGTACTGTGTTTTTCCAGGACCCATCAGCTCCAAGCTGAGTAGTCCCTTCACTCATAGTTGTGGAGGGCGCAACTCAGTGGCCCATGTGGGGATCGAACCGGCAACCTTGGTGTTATGAGCACTGCGCTCTAACCAACTGAGCTAACTGGCCGCCCCATCATCCATCTGTTCTTAAACCAGACAAGCAAGAACAAGAAATGTGATCCCTTTTTTGTAAAAGATTTTTTTTTTAAAGATTTTTATTGGGGAATTGGGGGATGGGAACAGCAATGGGGAATTGGGGGAAGGGGAACAGACAAGTTGCTGTCCTTTTGTTCTTCAGTCTAGTTGTGGAGGACGTTGCTTCACTGGCCCAAGTTGGCACCATCATTGCGCTCTTCCTGGGTGAGGCAGATCAGTCGCCGGCTTCTGGACGGCCACTCACTGCGGCTGCTGGCCGCTCATGCTGGCTGCTGGCTACATACGGCAGCCCATGGCAACCCACTGCAGCAGGGGCTGCAGCCTACGTCTTCCATGGCAGCCCAGCTCCAGGTTGAGCTGTTGTTCAGCATCTTAGCTGTGGAGGGCAGTGTCACTGGCCCTCATATGTGGGATCCGATCCGAACCGGGGCCCTCTGGCGTCCCAAGCCAGCTCTTAACCAACGCGCCACTCGGCCGGCCCCTAAAAGATTTTTTAAAAAAATCCCTATACAGATATAGGTGTGTGTGTGTGTGTGTGTGTGTGTGTGTGTGTGTGTGTTATGTGTGCCAGGGAAAGGTGGGCTGTGCCCAAAGTATAATATATTGTTCTAACTTTGGACAAGCCGCCCCCGTAAACTTCGTAGGCCTCAGCTGCCTCGTCTGTGAAATGGGAACGCGGCCCCTGCCTGGGGCAGCTTCAGAGCTCCTGCACACACAGACAGCTTTGTGCAATGTCTCCTCCCACGGCTCTGGGACTCCAGATCCTGCTCCCCTGGCCCCTGTTCTGGGCCACCCCAGTCTCCACTTCCTCCTCTCTCTCTCTCTCTCTCTCTCTGCTAATAAAGGGAGGTTTGAAAATGCCAGGATCTCATTCCAGGAACTACTGGGGATTAGACAGTCAATGTTGATTGACCACAAAATGACTGGGCAGTGGTTCTCTTGTACATGAATCAGCTGAGATGTTTGTCAAAATGCAGATTCCATATGCTCAGATGTGCCACATTCTCAAAGACTCTGAGATGTGGAGGACATCAGAGTCCTGAATCTGACCCCCACACCCACAGGTCACCACAGGTGACACTGGCTCTCTCCCTCCCTGGCCAGGTCAGGTGGGCGGCGAATGGCTAAGGTGGTGCGCGACTTCCTGAAGGCGCAGCAGGTACAGGAGCCCCTGGAGCTGTACTCTGATTGGCTCTCTGTGGGCCACGTGGATGAGTTCCTGAGCTTTGTGCCCACCTCCGACCAAAAGGTGCGTTCACTCTCCTCCTTCTTGAGTCACCTCTGACCTTGCCTGACCTGATGGGATGGGACAGGGAAAAACTACTTGGAACCAGCTCAACACCTGTATCCATAGTGAGGTCAGAGTCAGGGCGCCCTCGGGGCCATGCGGTTGGTGTTCATCATTGAGGGCTTCCTGGAGAAGGTCAGAGCTCAGGTCAGGAGTGTACTCACATGCTCACTACTCACACACTCATTTTCACACTTACTGGGTGTCTGCTCTTATCCAAACTCCTTGGCCAAGACCCAGAAATGACATTGGTGATAACTGGTAACATTTACTGAGCACCTATTATGTGTCCATGTTTTAATTCATTTCCCCATGAGGTGGATACTATTATCATTGCCCCCATTTTATAGATGAGGAAACTGAGGCTCAGAAGGGCAATTAACTGGTAGGGTAAGATTCAAACCCAGACAGTGGGCTCTGGGCCAACATGTTCACCACTCATCTCCACCGCCTTGCAGAGGTGGGCAGGGAGGGCACAGCCCTCAGGGAGCAAGCAGCCTGGGAGGGGAGGCTGCGTTTCCTGGTGGACAAAGTGGGGCAGGGCCTCCAGGCAGGGAGAAGGTCATAGACAAAGGCCTGGAGGATGGAACCAGATGGACATCGGGGGATTGCTGATAGTTCTTTGTGGCTGGTGGGTGGGAGTAAGGGGGAGAGGGAGTCCCATGCGTGGTGTGGCCTCTGAAGTCAGGCGTCTCCTGAGTTTGGGGTCTCCTGCCTGTAGGGGGACGCTGTGCATTGAGCCGTTCTCCCTCCCTCTGTGCCAGGGCTTCCGACTGCTCCTGGCGAGCCCCAGTGTTTGCCTCAAACTGTTCCAAGAGAAGAAAGAGCAGGGCTATGGGGAGGCGGCCCAGTTTGACGGTGAGTGCAAATGACCTGGTCGCCCCACGGGGACGCTGCCCTCTCGTCGCTAGCCCTGGGCACTGCTGATGCCTTTCTTGACTGTGCCCCTGTTACAGGATTTTTGTCTGCAGATCTCTGAGCTCAGAGTCCGAATCACCAATTCTCCTGGCTCCCTCACAAGAGAGCTGGGGTTAAGGCCCTCACTCCCTCCCTTGGGGCCTGGGAAGGGCAGCCTGTGGGTTGCCCCAGGCACGTGCAAGGGGATAACCTCCTCCATACAGGGGGCAGTTCCTGGCCGCACTCCAGGAGAGAAAAGGAACAGGAAGCAAGGAGCACTCTGGCATGCCAGTCGCGCTGGGCACTTTCACTCTTTGGATCTCCCACCCCTCCCTCCTTATCCCTTTCCACAAAGGAGGAAGCTGAGACTCAGAGAGAACTGGCTTGCCCAGGGCTATGCTACGGGAAGCAGCAGGGCTAGGGGCTCAAGCAGGCAGGGGTGAGAACCAGGTGGGCGGTCAGGGCTGCTCTGTGGACCCTCCTCTGGGGATTGACAGACCCCCCCCCCTCCAAGGGCTTGGTTGGCCCCATGAGCACCACCCCCTTCCCCACCACAGACCTCAGTGCTCTCACCTGAGGAACGGAGCATTGGAAGGGATTTGGAGCAAGCTGGGGCCTGGATAGACCTGGGTTCAAATCCTGGTCTTACCACTTGCTCGCTGTGCGATCACGGGTGTGTTAGGACTCTCTCAGTGCCTCAGTTTCCTCTTCTCTGAATTGGGGGTGGTAATTAATAATCCCACCTAGCATTGTTTAAAGGTTAATAATAAATTCAGTAGGAAGCCCAGAACATGGTGGGTGTTCAATAATAGTAGCTATACTGTAATTATTAGGCCCTGAGCCCAGGACTCCCTTCCTAAGGAACCTGTGATCCTTTTCCAGTGTTTACTCATAACCAGAGCCTAGTCCCATCAGAGTATCCAGTCTCTGGCTTTCTGCTTCCTAGCTAGCTTCCCACCCTGGCACTGAGGTGGGAGGAGAATACTGGCCTAGATCATGCAGCCCGAGGCCCGAGGTAGCCCCAGGCATTACTCCCTGAGCTTCTGTACTATCTTTTTTTCTCTCTTGCAGGGTTGGAACATCAGGTAAAGAGAAGCATTAATGACATGCTGGCGGACCGAAGCCTCCAGAGTGACAGTCGCTATGTACAGGTGAGGGGCAGGCCTACTGCCTGCTCTCGGGGGTTCCTCACCTTCCAGAGAGAACTGCAGGGATAGGGGTGCCGGGTTCAGCCCCAGGCCTCGGACTGTCCTGGAGGCTGCTGAAAGCTGTGGATACAGTAGGGCCTCTGCCCTTGGGAACCCACAGTCTGAGGGACGAGACATAGCCATGCCAGTCTAATAAAGGAGGTCTTTCTCTGCTCTGAGGAACTGATGGGTTTCTGTGAAGCAAAACTGAGTTCTCACCCGAGAAATCTGCTGAGATGAGAGAGATGTGGAGAAATGGGGCCCTGAGGTGGGTGGGCTCAAGGAGATCTGGAGAGGGGACTGGGCAGAGTGGGGTCTCAGGAAGGGGCGGGGCTGATGCCGGTCACGTGCCTGGTACAGGGCCTGGAGCAGAGTCCACGCTCAGTGAATGGGAGGAGGCCCCTTGCTTCTCCCCAACGGTGCCAGCTTTCTCCTAAACTGCTGAGATGGGCTAGAACATAAGCATGCAGAGGCTGGGACAGTGTGGCGTAAGGGGCAAGGACTTTTGGAACCAGAAACTGCCTGGGTCCAAACCTCGGCTCTGCCACTTCCTAGCCCTGTGCCCTTGAGCAGGTCACTTGAGCCTCAGTTTCCCTGTCTGGGCTAGCAATGGCACAAAGATCAAAGGAGCTAAAGGGTGCAGAGGGCGCTGCTCAGGGCCCGGCATACCGTAGGCACTCAGATCCTCATTGGCTTTCTGGGGGCACTGGGCTGCCCCTCCCCTCCTCCCCCAGAAATGCATCGACTGGAACAGGGAGGTGCTGAAGAAGGAACTGGGCCTGACGGAGCGGGACATCGTGGACATCCCCCAGCTCTTCTTTCTGAGGGACTCCTATGCAGAGGCCTTCTTCCCCGACATGGTGAGAGTGTGGAGGAAGCACGGGTCAGGATGGGTCATTTCCTGTCGCTGGGGCCTGGCAGGGTCCTGGTGGGCTTCCTGAGAACCTCTCCAGAGGACGTTTGCTTTTTGTGCAGGTACAGAACATCTCAATCATGGGCATTTTGATTACCACAACGAGGGGGTTGTTCTTGGCATCCAGCGGGTAGAGGTCAGCGATGATGCTAAACATCCTACAGCGTACACAGGAGCCCCCACAACTAAGAGCTTTTATTTCCCAAGTGGAAAAAGGAAGCACGGTTTGGTTCCAAATGTTGTGGACTCCCATTTCTGGGCCTCAGATGCCTGCTCTGCTCCCCAATGGGGTGGGGCAGGCAGCGGCTCCCTCCCTGGCTGTCATTAACTCAGGCAGCTGACAAGCAGGTGAGCAGATAGTGAGCTCACCAGCGGCCCCTGGGAGGGGCCTGAGTGATGCTATCGGCACAGTCCTGGCCAAAGTGCCCATTAACCCCTTGGGAAAGGATGTCTGGGTGTTGGCAGCTGAGAGGGGGGTGCCTCAGGATGGGAGACCTTCCCACTTTAGCCTGGGGCCTTTAACTCAATCCCTGTCATGGGACAAGCCAAAAGTTGGGACTGAATGCTAGGGTCCACATGCTGATTGGAGGCAGGTGAGTGGGGGGTGGAGCCTCCCCACCAGGACTTGCATTATTCCTGACCCCTCACGGGGGTCCCTGCAGAGACTCTAAGGCAGGGCTTCTCAACCTCTGGGTCTATCGCCATTTGGGGCTGGATGCGTCCTTTGTCATGGGGAGCAGTCCTGTGCATCTTAGGATGTTGCAGCATCCTCACCTCCTACCCACCAGGTGCCAGCAGCACCCCCTTTTTGCGACAACCAAAAATGCCCTTCAAGGTAAAATTGGCCTTGGTTGAGAACCGCTGTTCTAAGGCAGTGCTGTTAGAACTTTCTGGAGTGATGGAAATGTTCTATATCTGCTCAATATGACATGGGAGTCACCAAGCCACGTGTGGCCACTGAGCACTTGAAATGTGACTGGTGTGGTTGAGGAACAAAATTTTACTTTAATTTCAACAGCCACATGTAGCTAAATGGCTACTATATTAGGTAGCGAAGCTCTGAGGGGTGACCTGGCCCTGGTTCTGGCCGAGGGGTGGGGGGAAGGCCTGGGCCAGAGCCCATGACCTTAGTCAGCCCTCCTTGGGCTGTGGCCTTGCCCCCACTTGCTGGAAGTTCCCTCCCCAAACACACGCCTCTGTGGGAATCTCCCAGCTTCAGTCCAGGCCCTGCTAAAAGATACTAGTATGTCCTCACTGGAAGGGCCCTTAGGAGATGCTCAGTTCACCTCCTCATTTGTCACATGGGGAAACTGAGGCCCTTGGAGGAGTGTGGTTGACTTGCCTGAGGTCCCCCCGTGAGCAGTGGGCCCCCCTCCAGTCTCCTGAGCCTTCATCCAGGAGGAAGCCCCCCCTGGGCTGGCTCTGGTCCTAAACTCACCTCCTGGCTCCTCTCCCTGTGTGCCCCACTCCCACCCTAGCATGTTCTGGCCCATTAGTGGGCAACTAGGTAGCTCAGGGCCCAGGCCTGGGGACTGATCCCACCGGACCCTCCGGCTTCATGTTGGTCCCAGCCTGCATGGCCCTGCAGGGCAGACTTGAGGGTGAGGAGTTGGGGCATGGAGAATGTGAGGGCACAGAGCCCAGGACAGCCTACCGCACACCCAGATGACCCAGCACCACCCCCCAGGCAGTGGGTTCAGAGCGTCCCCTTTGACCACCAAGGGCAGCTCCTCTGGCCATCAGGCTAGAGCTGAGCTTTTCTCTTAGAAACCTCTGCACTCTGTACTGGGGACACTTCCCTTCCCTAGCGTTAGGCAGGTCCCCCAACCAGGGAAGCAGAGGTGCCACCAGAGATAAACCCAGGTGTCCCCCACCCAAGGGATCCCAGCCCAATGACCCAATTCCTCAGCCCCCCAGCCCGCACCCTTCTACCCCCACCTCCCCTCCCTAGGCAGCCACAGTGCTACATTCTGACAGAGGATAAAGAGCACGGGTTTGGGCAAGTCAGACTCAAACCAAATTTTAGTCCCCCTTCTCTAACTGTGTGGCCTTGATCATGCCACTTAACCTGTCCAAGCCAGAGCCTCAGAGAGAGGCTGTGAGGTTTAGTGATGATATATCTGGCACATAGAAGATGCTCAGTAAAATTATCAGGGCTTCCAGGGACCATTGAGCAAGCTGTGCACTGCACAAGTGCACCACATCTACAAGGACATTCACACCATAGACCTTGTGGATGTACATATTTGTTATACCAGTTTCTGACAGGTGATGGTAAAAATCTCATTGTAACCAAGTTGTTAGGACACTTTTCTGATAGATGGAAGAAAGTATTGAAGAAGGCAGGAGTGACTTCAATTCATATAAAGTTACCATGTATGTTAACTTCATTCATTCTTGAGTGAGCCCCAGCCTTGGTGGCCCAGAGACACTGGCAAGGATGAGACAGGCCCTGGAGATGGGTCTACCAGAGTGGGAGGCCAGAAGGGGTCCCAACGCATAGAGCCCCAGCCAGCTGGGCCTCCCTCTTGCCGTCTCTTTTCTACAGGTCAACATGGTGGTTTTAGGCAAGTACCTGGGCATCCCCAAGCCCTTCGGGCCCATCATCAACGGCCGCTGCTGCCTGGAGGAGAAGGTGCGGTCCCTGCTGGAGCCGCTGGGCCTCCACTGCGTCTTCATCAATGACTACTTGTCCTACCACAAGCTGATGGGGGAGATCCACTGTGGCACCAACGTGCGCCGGGAGCCCTTCTCCTTCAAGTGGTGGCACATGGTGCCCTGAGCCTGCTACCTGCCATCCTCTCTGCCCGCCTGCTAGGAAACCCCGCCGGAGTGAGAGCGAGGAATCTGCACCTGGCCCCCATTGTGTGGCCACCGTGGGCATCAGGACGCAGGGATGGACCCACCCAGCCCGAGAAGGACTGCCCTCCCTCACCCTTCCTGCTCCTCTTCTCCATCTGCAACTCCCAGAGGTTCTGGAGAAGATCACCAGCCCTAGCGTGTTCAAGGATGCTCAAGGATGGTGGGGCAGGACCTCAGCAGGTGCCCCACTTTGAATTGCTCCCCCTTTGTTTTGACACCTCCATTGTGTTGGCACCAGGAACAGAACCCAGGGGGCCCAGGCTCTGGTGTGAGGGCCCTGGGTCTAGGCCTCCTGTGGCTCTTGAAAGACCAGGAAGGGGGACCTGAGCCACCTTCGTTCCTCTACCAGCTGTCTTCTCCTGCAGGGGACCCCCCAGGCTGTGACCTTCTGGCACCCTCAGCCATATTTACATGGGCAAATAAGGACAGGAAAATCCAGCTTCGGAGGGCCTGCTTTAGAAAGAAAAAAAAAAAAAGGCAACAAAAACCCTTTAATACCTGACTGTCCTCAGAAGTGTGCTTGTTACCTGTTTGAAAAGCCTGTAATTACGTGTGCTGGCTGCTTCCAGCTCAAAAATGCTGCAAGGCCAAAGTGAGGCCTGGGAGGGCACACAAAGGAATGAAGGCCTGGCAGGAGGGAAGGAGGCCAGGATGGCAGAGAAAGCTGAGGCAGGAGGACAGAACCTGGGTGGGGCCTGGTCCTGCATCCTAGGACTCCTGGGCTTTGAATTCTGGACTCCGGATGTGGAGGTGGCTGGCTTTCCAGATGGAGCAGGAAGTGGGGGCCCAGATATTAGAAGAGGGTGGGGGCCATTAGGTTATCTGTGAAGGCGGGGTTTAATTTCCTCTAATAGTCTCTAATTATTCCCCCTTCCTTCTGCAGGCAGTGGGAGGGGAAGGCTCGCCTGGTCTCTCAGCAACGTGGAGACCCTGCGCCTAGCTTGGGTTTCACCTGTGAGCAAACCCCTTTGGCAGCCCTGTGTCCCCCCCCATGGACGGGAAGATGGAGCTGCCACAGGGGTTAATAGTCTGGCCCCAGGTGAGGTCACCGAGTCATGCGTAGGCGCGCAGGCTTAGCCAATGAAGGGCAAGAGGTGACCCCTGCCCCAGACAGGCACAGGCAGCAGGGAGCTGCCGGTGGGACCATCCCAGGGGTCCTCAGCCCCTGGGCCTTCACCTTCCGGGTTTTCAGTGGCCCCTGGTGAGGTCTAGATTGAGCCAGCTGCTGTTAAGCTCTTTCAGCCTTGGAACCCTCAGTAATCAGAAGTTTACATGGAAACCCCAGCTCACATGAAACTGATAAAAACAGAACTGCTCTGTTTAAGGTGGTGGGGGCAGCGTACCAGGATCCTCCCCTTCCAGAAGGCTCTCTGGAACCTCATTGGCAAGCCCGTGGTCTAACCCGCTCACTCTCTGATAATAATTATGAGGAAGCCTGCGCCAAGAAGAGAAAGGAGCTCTTCAGGGGCCAAGGGTGTGTGGCCAGGGTCAGGACTCCCCAGGGAAAGGGTGGGGAGGGGAGGGGCCACTGCAGAGAGACGGGGAGGTGGGGCACACGGCTTCTAGAATGGCACTGAGTGTGAAAGGCGCTGAAATGGCTGCTGGGGCTGTTGGGGAACGCTGATGCCCCCTCTGAGAATGTTCCGGGTGACCGGCCACCTTTCCGATTAATAAAAAAGTCAATATGCATTTCAAGTGGCTGCCTCCGTAGCTTCTGTTTGTTGGGCTGTGGGGGGTGGGGAGGGAATAAAGTGAGGGAGGCCTGGCTCCCTGTTCCAGCTCCCATACACCAGGTCCTTGGCTCAACTTCTGCTGGCCATGGGAAGCTCCTACCCGGTGGGAGAGCCCCCAGGACCAGCGCCAGCAGGATGCCTGGAACATGCCCGTTGCCCTAGAGACGACTGCCCTGCTGAGATGGCTATCAGGAGAGGGTGGGTCCTACCCCTTCATCTCTTCTCCCTTCCTGGGCTAGCTCCTCCATCTTTCAGAGGGCAGGAGAGCCGGGCCCTATTGGCAGAGGGGGGAGAGTTCCCAGCGGGACTGTGCCCAGGACCTCAGGCCACTGTGCTTCCCTTTCACTCCTGCCTCTAAAGCCACTACATTACCCAGCCTCAGGGGTCTGACTTCAGGGCTCTGAAAATATCGCCCCTCGCATCTTACACACTTGCTGCTGCCTCAAAGTGCACCCTTACTCACTCACTCACTCACTCACTCACTCACTCACTCACTCACTCACGTATGCACTTTATTTTAGCTTTTGTTGTGAACTAAGAGGCAAAAAAGGTTTTGCCATCAGTCATTGACAGTTTAGTCTGAATGCACCACAGATCTGTTTCTAAAAGCTGGTATTAATTGGGAAGAGGTGAAGGCATAGGTCTACTGCCAAAGGGAGATTCAGGGCTCTGAGCAGGAGGCTGGTTCCTGCTCCCCAAACAGTGGGCCAGTGCCCTGGGGGAAGCCCCCACTTTTTGCATCTATTCCCCAACTGTGCTTATAAGCAGGCAAGGGAGATGGCCTGGGACTTCCTCCTGAGCTCCCACTCCTATCCAGGCTGAGTCAAGCACTAAGCTACTTTACAGCCAAAAAAGGGGCGCTGTCCCTGGACCCTTCAGCCCAGCAGCTCTCCTTGAGAAGAACATTCCTCCCGGAAACTGAGGTGTGGGAGCATCAGTATTAGAGTCCTGCTGAGATCCCTGAAGCAGGCAAGTGCTTCATCTGGGAAGCGGGGTCCTAGTCCCCGCCCTGCCTCAAATTGTCAGCACTGCCTGGGAGAAGGGAGGAAACCTCTATTCAGCACCTTCTAAGCCTCCCTGGGCAGGGTGTGTCCCTGTCATTAACTCTGCCAGGCCTGGGATTAGCTACATTTTCTACTGATGAGGAAACCAAGGTCCTGAGAGAGAGGACATAACCCTAAGGCCACAGCCATGTATAGTGGAATCTGGATCAGAACCAAGATTCCTCTTCCCAGAGTCCTGTGGCTCCTGCTGTTGCAGGTACCTGAACGCCCCCACCTGAAAAGTGAGCCTTGCAGGTACCTGAACGCCCTCACCTGAAAAGTGAGCCTTGCAGGTACCTGAACGCCCCCACCTGAAAAGTGAGCCTTCCTACGCTGACATTCTCATAAGCTTCCCCTGGCCAGAGAGGGTTTTCACTCCCATCACTTACCCCTTCCAGAAGCTTTTGGCATCTAAAAATAACAACAACAACAACACAACCCATAATAAAAGAATGCCAAGCTCTGTACTAGAGCTCTACCCACGTTGTCTCATTTTGCTGCACAACAACCATTTATCAGATGTGAAAAGTGAGGCATAGAGCAATTAAGTGACTTGCTGCAGGTCACCCAGCCAGGATGTGGCTGAGGCAGGGCTGAAATCCAGTCCTGCTTCTAAATTCTTTTGTCTCTTAAGAAAAAAGCTGGCGTTTCTTGAAGTAGCAAAATGCTTTGGGTGCTTGTAACAAATCCAGATGCTAGGCTGCACCCCTAAACCGCTGCGTCAGACTGGAGGCTGGGTCCAGGAATCTGCATTTCATCAGCTTCCCCAGCAAGGTAGAGAAGCTCCCCACTAAAGCATATCATTTCTGAAAATGCAGGAAAAAGGGGTGAGGAGGCTGAGTGTTTCAGGGGCCCAGATTCATACTCCACATCTCTGTACCCCTGGTGCCTTGGCCTGGGACCTGTGGCGACTTGCTCCCCTTTAAAACCAGAAATTAATTACTTCAGTGCAGCACTAAAAGTCCTGCACCCTAGGAAACGCCCCCATTCCTGGCAAACCAGAATCGTTGGTCACTGCCTGCCATATTTCACCCCCCCATTCAGCACCTCCTTAGCTGGTCCGGAGGGCTCAAATCTGAGTTTCCTGGGTGGGAACCACAGGTTAATATGCAAATATCAGGTTCCTTTCAGCCAATCCTGAGCTCCTGGCTATGGGAAGGGGTTGGGCTTCCAGGACTGCAGCCAATGAGCTAGCACCCCAGGCTAGAGGGGCAGGGCCAGGGTCTTTTAAACCGCATGCCAAGGGGCTTGTGGGGTTAAGCCTTGGGTTTTGTGGCCCAAGCCCAGTTCAAGGCCAGCATGTCACCACAGAGGATAGTGCGTGTGTCCCTGGAGCATCCCACGAACGCTGTGTGTGTGGCTGGCGTGGAAACCCTCGTGGACATTTATGGGTAAGAGCCAGAGGCCTGGGGGTTTGCAGAACATTTGTGCTGAACCCCTGGGCTGTCCCTGTGAGCTGTGTAGGGCTTCCTCAGGGCTTGGGCCTAGCTTGGCTGCTCACTCCAGAGCCTTGGCCTTGGCACACCAGCTAATCACAGAAGGCTTGGGTCCCGCCTTCCACAGCAGGGTTTCATGAAGACCCCAGCCAGGGGACTTGAAGTGTGGGAGACTGAAGGGAGGTAGAAAGGCTTGTGGTGGCTGAGCTCCGGCCAGGGCCTTGGAGGGTGCTGGTGCTACCGGGGCTTGGGCACTTTTCTCTGTCCGGACTGGGAGTCTAGCTGGACACACAAGAATAGGAGGAGACATACTGCTCCCTGTCCCCTGCCCCCAGACTAATGAGCTTGAAAATAGAGCATCAATCATGTTTTTAAAAATTACTTGCACTTCTATAGCATTTCCTCAGTGGCAGGTGCTGTTCTAAGAACTTGACAAGGCTCTTGAATTTAACCCTTGAACTCTAACTCTCTAATTTAACTTTTACAACAACCCTATTAGCTTCATCTCTTTTGACAGATGAGGAAACTGAGGCACAGAGAGGACAAGCCGTTTGCTCAGGTTACTAAGTGGCCAAGCCAGAATTTAAGCCCATTTGTAGTCATGAATCATTTTAGCTGTCTGTCGCATGAGGAGGAAGGACCTGGTTTCCTCCAGCCATTCAACCCCATGCATTATGCCCCTACTGTATGCCCATGTCCCTAAGGCCGGTGGCTGCAGGTGGGGCCCCACCTTCTCTATCTCTCCCAGGAAGAAAAGGAGAGTTTAGGTAGAGTTTTGGGAACTGGGCTCTGGGAACCACGAAGGAGCTGGCTACTTAGCCTTTTGGGGAGTCTTCAGGGGCCCCAGCTCCTGAGGCTGAGCTGGGGACACAGGTAATCAAGGGACTGGGAGGGGAGAAGGCAGAGCCGTGTGGCTGTTCCCATCTTACAGGTCTCCCACCCTCTCCTCAGACCAGGTCTCTCAACCTCAGCACTATGGACATGGTAACTCCTTGGGGGGGTGGGGGGTGGGGGAGTGGGTGGGGCCATTGTGTGCACTGGGAGATGTTGAGTAGCGTCTCTGGCTTCTACTCATTGGATGACAGGATCACACCTTCCACTTGTGACAACCACGGCTCTGGACATTGTCAAATGTGTCCTGGGTGGGGGAGATCACCCTCAGTGGAGAACCAGTGTCCTAGATTAAAACTTAAAAATTGGAGTGAGCTTAGTTGGAAGCAGAGATGGGCTTGGTCCCAGGGTATTAGCTGAGAGGGGTGAGGAGCTGGTCATGGGAGGGAACCAAATCTGAAGCAGGCCCAGCCCAGCTAGGTACTGGGAGCTAAAGCCTGGTTGAGGGTGGGTGGGCAGTGAGGAGTGAGAAGTGGGAAGGGGATGTGGTGGCCTCTGAAAGTGGGGGCAGCCACAGAGGCTGTTCCAGGGGTGGTGTTGAGGGGGAGGGGTACCGGTGCAGCCTGGCACCACCACCTTCTTCAGCACTGGGTGCCCATGGGGGTGACTCATCTTCCCTGGCTGCCTTCTGCCCATAGGGCAGATGTGCTCCAGTTTGACCTGCTCCAGGAAGCCGGGGGAGCTTCCTGAGAAGATGGAGAATGGATTGGGGCCATGAGAGGCAAAAGCAGCAGTGTCTTGGGGGTAATGTGAGTGGGTGGGCCATGCTGGGGTTCGCAGAGGAGGCTGTGGGTGGGACAGCCACAGAGTGGGGGACGTGGAGCCTTCAGCACCTTTAAACTTGGGATTCTTGGGTCCTGATGACCAGACCACCTTGGTATTACATTTGGGTCTGGTGTGTGCCAGGCATGGGGATACAAAGGTGAACACACAGGCATGGCTCCTGGCCTCTGGGGACACTGTCATTCGGAATTCTCGTGGGAGCTGGGCCTCATCGCAGGGGTGCTGCGAAAGGGAGTCTGGTCTTGCAAGGGGAGCAGGACTGGGTTAGCCCTAAGGTCTCTTCCGGCTTGGGGATGCCATGATTTAGGAATCCTGAGTGCTCGGACTGTGGGCCAAGAAGAGAAGGGACAGTGGGTATCGTCCTCAGTCCTGGCTCCGAATCTTAGCAGCTGTCTGACCCTGAGAAAGTCACTTAACCTCTCTGAGCCTGTTTCTTCATCTGTAGGATGGAGATATTAATAACATAATAACAATGCCAGCAATGATTAGAGCCTGCTCCAACCAGCCACTGCCCTCAGCACTTGATATACGTTAACTAATTCTCCTAACAATTCTATGAGGCAGTACTATCATCCTCCCCATGTTATAGATGGGGAAACTGAGGCACAAAAATGTTAAGTAACTTGCCCCATGTCACACAGCCAGTGAGGAGTGGCAGAGCTAGGATGCAGCCCAAACAATTTGTCCTTTACTTCAAAGGGCTATTGGGAGGATTGAATGAGATTGTGCCTGTAGAGCACATAGACAGTGCCTGTCAAGTGATGAGTGTTCAGTTATGGTAAATGTCACCATTATTATCATGTGATCATTTTAATGCTTTGTCCTGGCCTTGTGGGCAGCCTCAAGGGTCCCCAAACCTGCCATACATAAGATGACTGGCGTGCAACCTCTGAACCATACTGGGAGAAGAGGGAGGAGATGAGAAAAGAGAAATTATATAGGCTGAGCAGTCAGGGCAGGCTTCCTGGAGGAAGGGCACCACCTAGAGCAGTGGTTCTCAACCTTTCACAGGGGTCGGCCTAAGACCATCGGAAAACACATATTTTTGATATTCTTAGGAACCGAGACACTGCTCCTCTATCCGTCTCCAGGCCCACATGCAGATACGCCCACATACGAGTACCAGGCGACCCCTATGAAAGGGTCGTTCGACCCCCAAAGGGGTCGCGACCCACAGGTTGAGAACTGCTGACCTAGAGCCTTGAAGGATGAGCACAGGCAAGACCACTGGACCTCTATTTGTAGCAGTGGATTAAACCCTGTTTTCCTGCCTTGCGTTGAGTTGGAGATGGCCCTGACTTGGTGAGGGGGCTCTGTTTTCGTGAGCAGGGCTCTTGGGGGAAAGGGAAGAAGGATAATACACCAGTGTGCTGAGCCATGCCCCAGGGATGAGCGTGCAGCCAGGGTTGAGAACCGCTGTCCTAGGTGGACCAGCAAACAGCTCACATCACCCCTTGCTCAGCAGAGGTGGCAAATAGGGTAAAAAGACTTGGGCACCTGGGGGCCAGCAACCCTGAGGTTTGGTCTGAGCTCTGTCACCATTTGTTCTGTCATCTGGAGCAACTTTCTGCTCCATGTGGGCCTCAGTTTCCCCACATGTACCCTGAAGAGGTTGGCACAGAACAGTGGGTTTCAAGCTCTGCTCACAGAGGCTTTTGAGCCCCCTCCCCTGATGTGACAAAACAGTTCCCCTTCTGTTTCCAGCAGATTTTGATGTGAGAGCTCTGACCCGCCCGTGCAGAGAGGGGCCCTGGGCCGCTGATGCCTGTCCAACTCTTGATCTTAACTGTTGGGGCTTTAAGATAAGGGGTTGGCATGGCCTCATTTTCCTGGGGCGGGAAGAACGTAGGATTAAGGAGAGGGCAGTGACTTCCTGCCCCTGGTTCTGTTGGTGAGGCTGGCAGAATCCGGGAGCCTTACTGAGCAAGGTACTGGAGGAGCAGCTGGTACTGCCCCATGGAGCCTGAGCTCTCTGGGCCTTGGTCTCCTTTGCTCCCAGGGCTGCTTGGTGGGGACCTTGGTGGTCATCTTGTCAACTTTTGTGTTTTCAGCCACAGGGGCCTGCTTTTGTTTTCCCAGAGGCAGAGGCCCTGAGGCCATGAGGGAGAGGATGGATTTGGGTTGGCAAGGGAGTGGGGACAGAACTGGCCATAAGTCCTGGCTGTGTCACTTACCAGCTGTGTGACTTTGGGCAAGCCACCTGTCATCTCTGAACCTCAGTGTCCTCATCTGTAAAGTGGGGATAATAAGGATATGGGAGCTACCTTCATCACCATTGTCACCGTCATCCTCCTCGCCACTGAAGGGGAGACACAAGACACAAGGGAAGACCTTACTTATCTTGGTTCCCAGGAAAGGGTGGGCTCACAGAGTCATCCCCGCACGCCCTGGGGACACCAGGCTCCAGTGTTTCTGAGACAGTCCACCCTTAGCTGTGGTTCTGACTTCACTGGGCATCAGGATGGTTTTCAATGTAGGTTCCAGGGCTCTGCCCGCAGCACTTCTGGTTTGGAATCTGTGTTTTCACCAGGTGGCTCTGAGGTTGGCCACTGTGAGGATGACCAGCTGTCTTGGTTTGCCTGAGACCTTCCAGGTTTCAGCACTGAAAGTCCTGCACCCCGGGAAACGGCTCTATCCCTCGCAGACCAGAATCATTGGTCACTCTGCCACGTTTCACCCCCTGTTTACCACCTCCTAAGATGGCCAGGAGGGCTCGATGCCAGGGAGGACCTTGGACTGTCCCGTGTGAGGACAGCCTCAGCTGGGGAGAACCCGGGGCCCCAAGTCACATGTACCTCCCAGGGGTGGGGTGGGGGACACTGTTCAGAGCAGCATGCTGGCAGCTCAGGGTGGCCTGGCTGGAGGAAGAACTTCGTCCAGATGAGCCTCTGGCCACTTCTGCTGTCGTCCAGGAAATGGGAAACCCTTGATGCAGACCTCCTGTCAGCAGCCACACCTTTGATCCTCTGAACACGCGGCTTCCATGAGAGGGTGTGAGCACTGGACTGGGAGTCTGGAGCCCTATCGTCTAGTCCCTTCTCTTCTGGGCCTCAGTTTTCCCAGCAGTGACATGAGGGCATGGGGTCGGGTGTCTCTGACTTTCCCTCATCCTGAGTGTTTACACGCACCCACTCCTTTAATCTTCTCATTATCCCCACTTTATAGACACTGATACTGAGGCAGAGGGAGGCCACATCACTCTTTCGAGGTCACACACCTAGTAAGAGGTGGGACTGAGATTTGAACCGAGACTCCCCAACCCCAGAGTGCTCAGGCGTAACCACCTTGCCACAGCTCCGTCATGCTGCCCTTCCTGACCAAGAACCATCGCTGGCCCCCCCCCCATTACATAGGGGTGAAATGAAAGCGAGCATGCTACAGCCTGAGTTTAAACCTGACCTCCCACGGCCCCACAGTGAAGGTGCCTTCCCCTCAGATGGGCCCCCTCCTTGTCCTTGGTTCACCTGCCTTCTTCCAGGAAGCCTTCATCAGGGGACCTAGTCCACCCTCTCCAACTGCCTCCAGCTTCCTGTGCCTTAATTTACTCTAATAACCCCTTCCCCCATCCTGGGCGGGCCGTTTTCCAAGGCTTTCCTATCAATTAGCACATTTGAGCCTCACTATGGCCAGTAAGGTTGGCCAGGTGGGGGCCATTATCCCACTTTACAGGCGAGGTTACTGAGCCCAGGGAGGCTGGGTGGGTTCTTCAAGGTCACCTGGCTGATGTGCGACCCAGCCTGGTCTAGAACCTGACTCCTGACTCTGGTCCTGACACTCCTGACTTCTGCGGGCCCCTCCTGGGCAGCGGTGCTTCCCCCAACACCTCACCCAGGCCTGGCCCAGGGAGCGGGACTGAATACCCCAACCCCAGTGTCTGGGGCCTGGGCACTGGGTGGGGCTTTCATACCAGAAGGGCAGTCGAGGGTGCTCAGCTTTAGCTGTGTATGTCTGGAGCCCAAGGGCAGCGTGGGATTGAGGGGAGCGCCACAGAAATTTTACAGGCTTCCTGGGGCACTGGAGGCCAGGTGCCTCGGGAAGTGGGCTGAGGGAGGAGCAGAGGGGAGAGTACCCCTGGGTATGAGGGGGGCCCTTCATGCCTGGATCTGTTTCTGTCTTTCTGGCTCTCCGTTTCTCTGGGGATCTCCATGTCTCTCTATCTCTCTGTCTCTGTGTCCCCATGCCTCTCTCTCCAGGTTCTCCGCATCCCCCGAGGGGCTGGCCCACACACCCAGGGCGGGACAGGACGGAGGGCACCACCAGCCCTGGAAATTACAGGCTGTGGGAGGAGGGTTGCCAGATAAAATCTAGGATGCCTCGTTAAATCTGAAATCCAGATAAGCAATTAATAATTTTTTAGTATATGTCCCAAATATTGCATGGGGCCTATTTACACTAAAATAGTAATTTGTCGTTTATCTGAAATTCAAGTCCAGCTGGGTGTTCTGTATTTTTATTTGCTAAATCTGGCAGCAGAAACAGGTATGTGAGGACACTGGGCAGTGCATAGGAGGGGGACCCGCCTGGTGGCACAGAGCTTGGATTTGGTTTATTTTTCTTTTTATATATAAAAACAGCTGCTTTGAGAAGTATGAGCATCAAGCTGGTGGAGGAGTGAAGGGGGTGTTTTGAAGGCGGTCCGCTCTCCTCCGGGTGGGGGCGGGGAATGGAGAGGGCCTGGGGTGGAATGAGCAGCTGTGCAACCCTGGGGAAGCGTCTTGCCCATCCTGAGCCTCACCACGTGGAAATGGGAATAATAACCCCCTCCTGCTGGGGCTGCGGTGAGCTTTGGATGAGCTGATGTTCGGAAAGGCTTAGCCAGGCCTGCCGTGGTAAGTGTGCAGGGCACTGGGGCCTCGAGGGTATGATTATTGTTTTTCTCTGGGGGAGCTGGTGGGTGAGAATGTGGTCTCAGGATCCAGAAGGCCTGGGTTTGGATCCAAGTCCTGCCACTCACATGACCTTGGACAAGTTACTTAACCTCAGTTTTCCCATCTGTAAAATGGGGGCAATAATAGTACTTACCTCCTAGGGTTATTGAGAGGATTACATGACATAATACACATAAAGAAACTCAAACAGAGCTGGCACATAGCAAGGGCTCAACAAATGCTGGCTTCGGTTATCCCCCAAGGTGCATGTGTGAGCTGCTTCCTCCAGGAAGCCTCCTGGACCCTCTGGCTCATGGTGACCTCTCCCTACGTGGGGCCCCACTGACCTCTGACCCCGTGGCTCTGAGCCCCATCTGGCTGCCCTGGGCAGTGCTGTGTCCTCAGCTCCTGGTGGGATTGAAGGCTCTGGGGAGAGCAGTGGGTATATGCCTCAGCCTGGCAGTGCCCACGTGCACAGTGGGCACCCCACAGACAATCAGAGGGTGAACAGACTAATCTCAAACAGGATTTCCAGACTAGCTGGAGTGGAAGAAATGCAGTCCCAGGGCCAGATGACATCACATTCTTAACCCTACAGTTAAGAACCTTAACCAGATTCTTAACCCTACAGTTAATGCCTGGGAAACTCACAAGGGACATGTGAACGCCCACAGAGCCTTGGAACGTGAGACTGTGTGTGCGTTTGTGTGGGGTCCAGGCTCGACTCCCAGGAGCTTACTGGGAGGATCTGCGAGGCTGGGGCGGCCCGGGAAGGCTTCCCGGAGGAAGCAAGCATTTGAGCCAAAGCGCGAACATCTGAACAAGGGCGTCTCCGTCTAGCACTGCCCGCGGCTCTCTGCTCTTCCCAGGTCGGTACCGGAGGGCACAGAGATGTTCGAGGTCCACGGGACGCCTGGTGTGGACATCTTCATCTCTCCCGGCTCGGAGAGGGGCCGGGGGCGTGCGGACACCGGGCGCTGGCACTGCGATGCAGGGTTGGAGATCATCGTGGTCGTGAACTCTCCCAGCAGTGACCTCAATGATAGTCATGTGAGTGGGTCCCCTGGTCTGGGGGTGGGATGGGGGGGCATTGACCTGGCTCCACAAAAGCCCAGCGCCCTCTCTTTCCCCCGAGTGCTACCCTGGCTCCGGAGCCAGCCAGCTCTGCAACTTAAAAACACGAAGCGTGTCACCTCTGGCAAGTAGGACACGCATCACGCCCCGGGCCTCTGTTTCCCCTTCTGTAAAACGGGGATAATCATAACACCTTCTTCCTAGGGTTGGTGTGGGTTGAAACGTGAGCCAGCATTTGTTCTTTCTCTTGCTTTCTAAGACCCCCTGGGAAAGGAGTCGCCCCAGTTTCCCCAGCGGTAGGCTGAGGGTTGATTAGGTGATCTCTGCCACTCTGAATGGAGGGAAAGCAGGGACCAGGGACAGAGGAGGAATGCCGCTTCCTGGGGCGACCCCTTTCTCTAAGGTGACCTTTCCCCAAGTCACCTCACCTCCCCCTAGCCCACTCTCCTCCCGTCCCCATTCCCTTTTCAGAGGTACAAGGACTTACTTCCCTCCCTCTCCTCTCTCTGCTCATTCACCCAGCAGGAATGAGTTCAATGAGCCCCAGCTCGAGGCAATGTCCTGGCTCCAGGGCTTCAAAAAGTGGGGATAATGGGGTGACCCTTGAGCTTGGCACAGGCGATGCTGCCTTAAAAAGGCCGATGGCAGGCAGCACTTGGCATCAGGAGCCGTATTTTGGGAAACTGGCCCTTTAAGAGTACCGAGCATTTGCCAGGTGCTGGGAAGCCCTCACAGCAGCCCTGAGAGGCAGGGTCTGACCCCATTTCATAGGCGGAGCTACCAAGGTTCAGAGTGACTGTCCTGGGGCCATGTGTCTAGTCAGAAGAAACTCTAGAATTCAGGGCAGGCCTGCCTGACACCTGGGGACAGGGTCCTTCCATCACCCCTCTATACGCATGCGTGTATCTGAATTGAGTCTCTCCACTGGGCTCTGTGAGACAGGTGGGGCAGGACTCAACGAACCCATTTTACAGACAAGGAAACTGAGACCAAGAAGGGGCATGGCTTACCAGAAATCACATGATCCAGTGAGTAGCAGCATTGGCGAGGGTCAGGACAGAGTCCCCAGGGCAGGGTAAGAGGATCAGCAGCCTGTGAGGGGGCCCCTCCTGGGTGCCCTTCTGAGCCGGGGGGGCTATGTGGACATCTCCCCATCCTGACTTCCTTGGCCTCAAGGACCACAAGGATTGAGGAGGGTCAGAGTGTATCTCCTTTCCCCTCCCCCACCTTTGGCCAGGATCCAGGTAATTAATTGTATGTCTGAAGCGAGCATCATTGCTGGGGCTTGACACTTGGGGGTCAGTAATTACGGGATTATAGGGGCTCCCAGGACCAAGGGGCGAGTGGCCTCTGTAAGATCCTAAACCCTCTGCTGAGATGAGAACATCAGAGCCAGACAGTTGAGGGACCCACATCAGGAGGGAATGTCCAAGTGGAAGGCTGTGGATTGAAGGCAGTCACCAACTGCTTTATCGTCCCCACCATCTTCAACCCCACTTTTGACAGTTATTGCTTTATCGTCCCCACCATCTTCAGCCCCACTTTTGACAGTTATTGCATGCTTGCTGTGGTCCAGGCACCGTGGACCACCGTGCTGAGCATGTCACATGCATTCCTTCTTTAATCCTTACAGCCTGTCATCAACCCTATGGGCTAGGAACTATAATATTATCCCCACTTTACAGCTGAGCAAATTGAGGCCCAGAGAGGCTAGTCACTGTTCCCAGGCTATTTACACGTGTTGGATCCAGAATCTGAGCCCTTGCACAATGCCACCGGCCCACCCATAACAATAGCTGATGTTTCTTGGGCCCTTCCTCTGAGATCAGTCTTTTATATGTTTGTTTCTAAGCTGCACTGCAGTCTTCTAAGATAGGAGCCTGTGTAGCCCTGTTTTGCAGATGAGGAAACTGAGGTGGCTGAGAAAGGGGAAGGGCTTTGGCCAAGGTCACAGAACCCAGAGGTGCTGGGCTCAAGTCCAGGCCTGTCTGAGTCCCACACGTAGCATGTTGGCTTGGAGCGTGTCCCTAAACCCTGCCCAATCCGAACTCCTCATTTTACCAGTGGTGGGGTTGAGATCCAAAGGGGAGGGAGCAAGTGCTCGCCAAAACCACACAGGGGTCATCGGCAGCACTGGGACTCAGGTCTCCGCAGAACCCCTCACAGATAGTTCCCATTTTACAGATGGGCCAACCGAGGCATGGAAAACTAAATGGCACAGAGAAAGCTAAAGAAAGAGTTGTGTGGGTAAACTCAACTTTAGTGCACAGAGGTTTCTGAGATCTCTTCCCTTCCATGCCAGATAGCCCAAGATCTGCCTTTTGGGGTGGGGGCTTTTGGCTTCATCCAACATGATCCTGGGCCCATCTCTCTACAGGTTCAGATTTGCTATTACTCCAGCCATAAGCCCCTGCCCCTGGCCCACGCGATGCTCTACCTCACCTGTGTCGGTAAGTTGGAGGCCATGCTGAAGATGTGGCCAAGGGGCCTCAGCCAAGCGCAGGATGGAGAGTGGTTGGGAATGACACCGAGCAAGGGTCTTTTTTACAAAAATCAACTAGTTTTATTTTCTCAATTAAAGTAAGAAATGCACATTTCAAAAAGTCAAACAGTACTGAAGAGTATACAGTTGACCCTTGCACAACATGGGTTTGAACTGTACTTATACGTGAATTTTCTTTCCATTGACCCATGCAATTCAAACCTGTTTTGTTAAAGGGTCAACTCCACAGTTGAGAATCTGAGTATGCAGAGGGCCAACTGCAGTAATACGTGGGAGGTTGGTACCCCTAACCCCCGAGTTGTTCAAGGGCTGACTGTACATTGAAAAGTAAACCTACCTCCCTGTAGGCCAAGACTTCCAGTTCCCCAGGCCCAGCATCCTTCTACAGATATGATGTGCTTATACAAGTAGACACATGCATACTTGTTTATTCCCCCCTTTTGTAAGCAAATGGAAGCATGTATAGACATGGAACTGGACCTTGCTTTTTCCAACTTAAATGTTTCTGCCAGTTCTCCACACATTGTTATATAAGCCCCATGCAAGATGTCACAGATGTTGGAACAATCAGACAAGAAATGTAAAGTAACAGTGATTAATATGTTAAAGGCTCTAGAGGAAAAGGTGGATAACATGGATGAACAGTTGGGCATTTCAGCAGAGAGATGAAAACTACAAGAAGGATTAAAATGGGAATGCTGGAAGTAAAAATCATGATGACAGATGAAAAATGCTTTTGATGGGTCCATGGGTAGACTTAACACAGCTAAAGAAAGAATCGGTGAACTTGAAGATAGGGCAACAGTTACCCAAACCGAAATATGAAGAGAAAGAAAGAACGAAACAAACAAAATAACAGAATAGAGATCCAATAGCTCTGGGACAGTATCAAACAGTCTAAACTCAATGGCATTCCCATCAAAATCCAACATGGCTTTTTAAAATAGAACTTCATAGAGCTGATCCTAAAACTCGCATGGAAGGGCAAAGGATAAGAATAGCCAAGACAATTTTGAACAAGAACAAGGTGGAGGGATTCGTGGTACCAAAGACTTTTTTCCAAGCTGTCGTACTCGAGCCAGTGTGAAGTTGGTGCAAGATTAAATACAGACTAATAGAACCAATTGAGAACTGGTAGACCCACCCTCATGTGACCATCACATGAGAATCAATGAACTTGGAACCGTTCTCATATCATACTCAAAAATAAATTTCAAAATAAAATAAATTTCAGATGGGTTAAAAATCTTAAGGTGAAAAATCAAAATTTTAAAGCTTTTAGAAGAGAATATCTGTAAGCTCAAGGTCAAGGTTTTCTTTAACGAGGCAAAACAATAGCACAGATCATAAGGGGGAAGATTGATAAGTTAGGCTGTATTAAAATTTAAAATGTCTATACAACAGAGGATGAGAAAAAAAGACTAGAAAAAGAAATGTGCCAGGACTGTGCCTGACTCATAGAGATTATGGAAAACTCTGATCAATAAGAAAAAAAAAAGACAAATGAATAGAAACAGCCAAAAAATATGAACAAGCAATTCACAGAAGAGAAAGACCCAATGATCAGAACCCAGATGAAAAGATGCTTAACTGAGTGTTGCCAAGAATGTGGGCTTGGGGAGCCTTTTGTCCCATGGGTGGGAGTTTGCTTTGGTACAAGCATTTGGAGAGCAATTAGTAAGAAAGTTGAAAATACTCCATCTGCAGGAGGCATCTTTAGAAGTAGGCTTCTGAATTATGGGAAATGTACATTGTAAATTTTGATAGCTGTTGCCAAATTGCTCTCCAAAAAACACGGTACCAATTTATATACCTGCCAACACTGTGTACTGTCAGACTTCTCTGTTCTTACCAGAGAGATTGGTTATTTCATTGTTGCTTTAATTCATCTTCCTTTAGTTAGGACTGAGGTTGGGTATTTTTTCGCCTCCCCCTCCCCGAAAACACACACACACACACACACACACACACACACACACACACACACACACACACCCTTGTTCACTGGAAAAAAAACACATACAGAAAAGTACATAAAGCTTTATTTTATACATATGAGTTCTGACAGTTAAGTTCGTGAACTCATCCTAGAAAAAGTGCTACATACCTCATTGCTGAATATCACTACCGTCACCTTTGAAGTACTCCCCTTGGGAAGCTGTGCACTGACTCCAGCACCTAGTCCACCTTTTGGAACTCTTTTTCTGAAATGGCCATTGGAATTATTGTCGTATTACCCTTGATGTCCTGAATGTCATCAAAATGTCTTCCTCTCAATATTTCCTTTATTTTTGGGTAAAGAAAGAAGTCATTGGGGGCCAGATCAGGTGACTAGGGAGGGTGTTTCAATATAGTTATTTGTTTACTAGCTAAAAACTCCCTCACAGACAGTGCCGTGTGAGCTGGTGCATTGTTGTGATGCAAGAGCTCCTTTGGGACCATTTTTGCACACACCTTTCTCATGCCAAGATTGTCAGTTAAGATTTTCCTGTTTCTCTATTGATGTTTACTTGGTCTGCTATGCTTATCAGTCAGCCGACAATTTTGATGCACAATTGGACGAATTTTTGCAATGTTTTCGTCAGTTCTGCTCGTCACTGGCCGCCCTGACCTCTCTTCATCAGCGACGTGTTCTCTCCCCTCAGAAAAACGTTTAATCCATTTGCACACTGCTGTTTTCTTCATGGCATTATCCCCATAAAGTTGGACTAACACGTGCCTGATTTCACTTCCACTCTTGCCAAGTTTAACAAGTAATTTAATGTTTGTTTGTTGCTCTAATTCAAGCTCAGACATTCTTGCGATGGCACACAAAAACACACCACTCAGCAAGACACCACCATATATCGACAGGGACACTGCGGTAAGACACTGATACACCGAGGTTATGAAACCTTACCGAGCCCCATGTAAGTGCACGGTGGCAAGTTTGCAAACTTAATTGTCAGACCGCGCGCGCGTGCGCGCGCGTGTGTGTGTGTGTGTGTGTATACACACACATTAATGAATGGTTACAAAGCAAACACTTAACCAACCATCACCCAGGTCAGGAATGGAACATGACCAGCACCCCAAAAATACCCCCAACTAATACCCCTTTCTGATCATAATTCCCCCCTTCCTGAGGTAACCACTATCTTGTGATAAGTATTTCCTTGCTTTTCTTTGTGGTTTTATCACCCAAATATGCATACCCAAGTTATATAGCCTGTTTTTGCCAATCTTTGAATTTCCTGTGGATAGGATCATATTGTATATATGCTTTTGGGTTAGGCTTCTTTTGCCCGCATTATATTTGTGAGAGACGTCCATTTGTTGTGAGATGGTTGGGTATCTTTTCATATGTTTAAAAATTATTTCAAATCCCGCCCCTTTTGAATGCTTCATTGCTGTTGTAAAATCTCCCCCAGGTTTTAGGGAGACACAGGAAGAAGGTGGAATGGGGGCTGGGATTGGGGAGTGTGAGATGAAGCTGAGGCTCAGAGAGGTCACACCGCTAGTAGGTAGCAGAGCCCAGATTCACATCTGCGTGTGCCTGACACCAAAATCCAGGCTCACTGCCCCATCCCAAGGAGATATGGCAGCTTCACACAGACCAAGAATACATAGGGCCAGCTGGGCTCGGTGCAGGGTGTGCCCTAGACATCAACGGCTGTAGGGCCAGCTGGGCTCGGTGCAGGGTGTGCCCTAGACATCAACGGCTGTAGGGCCAGCTGGGCTCGGTGCAGGGTGTGCCCTAGACATCAACGGCTGTAGGGCCAGCTGGGCTCGGTGCAGGGTGTGCCCTAGACATCAACGGCTGTAGGGATGCAGAAGAGGGAGGGGTCAGGGAAGGCTTCCTGGAGGAGGCAGCGTTTGACCCGGCCTTTGCCTCTTTCCCCAGCCCAGGAAGGAAGGCTCGAGATGCCCCTACCTCTGAGCAGTATCCTCTTGGAAATGACTTCCGTTTGCCTAGCCCCAGGCAGGCCTGGAGATGGAGGCTTAAAGATGGAGGCCTCAGGCCTGTGCTGGGCCCCCAGGAGCCCTGTGGTGACTTACTCTCTGCCCCCCCTTGCAGACATCACTCTGGATTGCGACCTGAACTGTGAGGGCAGGCAGAACAGGAGCTTTGTGGACAAGGTAGGGCGTCTCAGCCTGGGGTCAGATGGGGTGTGGAGTTTGGAACTGCTCTCGGCAGGGTTAGGAGGGGCGAGGCTGTTACAGGTATCCCTTGCCTCCCAGCTGATGCCAAGCTCAGGGGAGCCAACCAGGCATGGCTAGAGATCTTCTTTCACTGGCAGAAAATCATCACCAAGAATTATCCTAGGGCCGGCCGAGTGGCTCAGTTGGTTAAGAGCTTGCTCAAGAGTGCGCGCTCTGAGCAACAGGGTCGCTGGTTCAATTCCTGGCCCGAGCTGAGCTGCCGCTGAGCTGCCAACAGGTGGCAGAATGGCTCAGCTTAAAAAAAAATAAAAAAAAAGAAGAAGAAGAAGAAGAATTTTCCAGCACACATGTACCCAGCTAAGGGGTAGTCCTTGCTTTGTGGGAAAAGTCCTTCCAGACTTTTAATCTAGGTCAGGGGCCAGCCAACTTTTTCTCTAAAAGCCAAATAGTAAATATTTCAATCTTTGCGAGTCACACTGTCTGTTGTAACTACTGAGTTCTGCCGTTGTAGTGTGAAAGAGCTATAGTCAATATGTAAGCAAATGGATATGACTGTGTTCCAATAAAACTTTATTAACAGAAACAGGCAGTGGGCTGGATTTGGCCTGTGGGCTATAGTGTGCTAAGCCCCTGATCTAGGTGAAAAGGAAATCTACCAAGTATGAAACTGTTGAAGAACTTTGGGCTGAATTGTGGTGGTACTTACTGCAGCGGGAGTTCAGAGGAGAAGGTCAAGATGGGCTGGGCGAGCAAGGAAGACTTCCCAAAACAAGTCCGCTTAAGCTGGGCTCTAACAGGATGCCAGAGGGAGAGCATTCCAGGTGGAGGGACCAGCAGGGGCCAAGGTCAGGAGGGAGGGATGGGTGGACTTAGAATCAGGAGATTGCCCGCTGAGACACAGGACATTGGCTGGAGATCCATCACAGACAGCCATGATTGACAGATGTTAGTGTGGACTGGATGATGGGGGCAGTGGGGAGCCATTGCCATTTCTTGAGCAGGAGGTGCTGCAGTGAGAGTGGACCTGACCTCACAAGGTAGGGTGAAGGGGAAGAGGTGGGCTTAGGACGCTGGTCAGGCGGTTGTTGGGAAGGGAGGCACAGGTCTGGTCCAAGCCCCCATCATCAGCTCTGCTTTGTCGTTGGCAGAGCCAGTGGGTCTGGGGGCCCAGTGGGTATGGAGCCGTCCTGCTGGTAAACTGTGACAGGGACGATCTGAACTGCGATGACCGGGACAACTGTGACCAGCATGTGCGCTGCCTGCAAGGTGAGGGGGCCGGGGTAGCCCGTGTCCCTGGTTGTCCAGCGTCATTGCTCAGTTACCCTGCAGGGACTCGGAGACACAGGGGTGGCTCTGAAGGCAGAGCTCAGCATCACGGTTCCAGCTCCCTCAAACCCTTGTGTCCTCAAACCCTGCCTTGGGCTGGCAGCTGCCCCTCCCAACATCCCCAGTGCCAGCAGGCACTCACACACCGGGGTGGAACTCTGGAAATGAGCTACTCACCTTTCTCTCCCTGTGGAGCAGAGAATGCTAACCTTATTTGAGCACCTACTGTGTGCCAGTTCCTTTCTGGAAATTCTCTGTCTGGCTCTACAGACCTGGAAGACATGTCTGTTATGGTCCTGCGGACCCAGGGCCCCGCTGCCCTCTTCGATGACCACAGACTTGTCCTCCACACCTCCAGCTGTGATGCCAAGAGGGCACGGGTCTTCCATGCCTGCGGTGAGTTCATGCCCCCCTCGCAGCTGCCAGGGGGCCTCGTTTCCTGCCTTGGGCCAGTGGGCAGGCCCTGCTCAGGCCACCTGGACTGCTTTGGGGGCCAGAGTAATAACAGTCAGATGTGAGGTAAGGAACTGATCGGCTGGCCCAAGGTTGTTTTATTGGATGAATGAATTTTTAAAATATATTTTAAGCACGTTTAGAAATGTTTATTATAAAAAATTACAAACATGCACGAAAGTAGAAAGAACAGTGTAACAAGCCCCCAGAGGCCAACCACCCAGATTCAATAATTATCACTCTTCACCTCTCTTGCTTCACCTGTCGCTTTCTGCTTGCTGAAGTATTTGTAAGCCAGCCCCAGGCGTCGTGGGTATTGTCCCTGCAAATATTCAATGTGCATCTCCCGAAAAACAAAACAATAAAATGAAATGACTACTGATTGCTTCACATTGCCACAATGCCAGTATCACAAATACAAGCAAGAATATAGAAAACCTTTCAAAAATACAGATGTATACAGGTAATAAGATGCTCATTTTTGAAGAGAGCAAATACAGAAGTATGTAAAGTAAAAAATGAGAGTCCTCCCTCCCTACATCTAAACCTGTCTCTTAAAACGTGTTCACTGTTAACGATTTGGTATGTATTCTTCCCAACTTTTTTCTATATGCACTAAATGTGCATGTGCGCATATATGTGCACATGTGTGTATGCACGTGCGCGCACATGTGCGTGTGCATTTGAGTGCACATGTGTGTATGTGTGTGTGTGCGCACGTGCATGTGTGCGTGTGTGGTGTGGGCATATATTATGCTTTCCATCCTGTTTCCTTCTTTGAATTATAGATTCGACACATCTTTCTGTCTATTTATTTGTCTGGTTCATTCTTTTTCACAGCTGCATAGTATTCCAAAGCATGCAGATGTTGTAACTTATCCGGTCCCCTGAAGATAGGGGTTGTTGCAGTGTTTTGATTTAGCAATATAGGTTCCTTGAGGGCAGGGACCTTGCTCATGGCTGTATCCTGAGTCCAGAGCCGTGCCTCATAGTCACATACTAGGTGCTCAGTAAATATTTGTTCAATGAACGCATAAACAACCAGGGAACCCCCCTTGTATATGTATTTTGTAGGAAAGATACCTAGAAGTGGAATTGCTGGTTAAGGGTAGACATTGCCTTGTTAGATGCTGCCAACTTGTCCTCCTCACTGCCCACCCCCACCCTTGCCCACGCTGGGTATTAAGCATCTTTCTCGCCTTTGCCAGTGGAAGGTGAGAGGCAGGATTTTTCTGGCCTGCTTTTTTGGTGAGGTTGCACAGCTCTCCTGCATCGCTCACACTCCCCAGGCCCACCAGGGAGTCACAGCCACTACTTCTATCCATCCCAGGTCCCGAGGACTCGTGCGAGGCCTACAGGCACGTGCTGGGCCAGGACAAGCTGTCCTACAAGGTGCCTCGCTTCCACGGGGAGGAAGAACGCTTCTTCGTGGAGGGCCTCTCCTTCCCTGATGTCAGCTTCACGGGGCTTGTCTTTTTCCACGTCACCCTGTTGGATGACTCCAATGAGGTAGGGGGTGGCCGGGCAGAGAGGGTGACCAAAAGGCTCCATTCCTGAGAGAGACGGGCACTGCTGGCGTGAAAGACCCCTGGTTTCTCGACCACCCTACTGGATCTTCTCTAGAAACTAAGAGATGAAGTGGTTTGCTCAGGGCTGCCGGGTCCTTGACTCGCCCAGGCCTCTGGGCTCCGAGGCCAGTGCTGTGTCCACTCTGCCCCTCCCCTGCAGGATTTCTCCGAGTCCCCGATCTTCACTGACACCGTGGTATTTCGCGTCGCACCCTGGATTATGACGCCCAGCACCCTGCTGCCCCTGGAGGTGTACGTGTGCCGGTGAGTCTGGGAGCACTGGGGGTCCCTCTGACCCTGGTGGCCCCTCTGGCCTCAGGCCTGGCCCCATCCTGAGCCACTCTCCCCGGGATTGTCCGCAGTGTGAGGAACAACACGTGTTTTGTGGACGCAGTGGCAGAGCTGGCCAGGAAGGCCGGCTGCAAGCTGACCGTCTGCCCACAGGCTGAGAACCGCAATGACCGTTGGATCCAGGTACCATGGCCACCAGGCAGCACCCGGCCAGGATGCTGTGCTGGAAGGAGAGGCTGGCCTATCCCAACTGGGCGGGGGGCTGCTGGGGACATGCAAGAGGACCTGGGCCCTGAGATCGTCCTCCCCAGGGCACTGCTCTTCTTCTAATTCTAGACCTAGAGCTCACCCACTCTCTGTAGAACTTTCTGAAGATGCAGACACACACTGACACTGGATTTGACACCCATTCACCCTCAGGATCTGGGCTAGGCGCTGGATGGGCACACACCCTGTGCCCTCAGCAGCCTGGGCCAGCAGTTCTCAGTGGAAGGGAATTTTGTCCCCCCAAGGGACATTGGGCAGTCTCTGGAGACATTTTTGGTTGTTACACTGAGTGGTGGTGCTGCTGGCTTCTAGCGGGTAGAGGCAGGGGTGCTGCTCAGCTCCCTGCAGGACACAGGGCCGTCCCCACAACAAAGAATTATCTGATCTCAATGCAGTGGTGCTGAGGCTGAGCCCTGATATGGTGAATTATTGTGACAAAAATCCCCACTCCTACAATTGAAGATGGAGCAGGGGTGCCACCAAAGTGCCAGATGGGTTTGGAGGAAGGTGGCATAGCCTCTGTCTGGGGATCAATGAAGACCTCCAGGAAGGACATCTAAGCTGGACCAGATTTGGCAAATGGCGGGTATTCCTGCCATTTAGCAAGTGCTTACTGCAGGCCATGTGTCATTACCGTAGCGTCATTCCATCTTCTTGACAGCTCTCTGTCGTTACTCACCTGAGGAGCTCTCGGGGGCAAATCCCCAGGGCCAAAGAGCTGGTAAGGGCCCCGCTGGGACCCAGTAGATGGTGGGTCTGGCAGAGAGGAACAGCATGTGCAAAGGCCCAGGGGTGGGAGGCATGAGAAAGACTGTCACATGCTCTCTTTGGCCAGGGCCAAGGTTCTGTGAAGGGCAAGAATTGAGGTGGGAGTCCTTGAATGCCAAGCTAAGGAGCTTTCATGGCTGGAGGTTTGTTCAATTAGGCAGTTCAGGGCAGGATTGCGGAGTGCGATGAGCTAGATTGCTGATTAGATGTGTATCTCTGGACAAAAACAAAACAAAACAAAACAAAAAACTAGACCTCTCTGCCCCTAACTTTCCTCATCTATAACATGGGGTAATAATAGTGCTTGTGCATGGGTGTGACATGAGCATTAATGGACTTAATATTTATAAAGAGCTTAGGGCAGGGCCAGGTCCAGCTTCTCTCTGGACATGTAGTTTGTCAGCGCTGGGCCATCTTTGCCCCCGGAACCAGAAGGGTCAGGATTAACCTGGGCATGTTTATGGGTCTGAGAAGGAGGCAGATCTGTACCTCCTAAGGTCCCTTCAGCCCTGTCTAGCCATCAACCCCTCATGACCACATGTGGAGGCCAGAGGGACTGGCTGATGCTCAGCAGCCTGCCTGCCCAACTCAAGGCACCCCGAGTCTCTCTGTGTCTACCCTGCCCTGACCTAGTATGCGGACACGTCCAAAGTCACATCCATGTGCTTAGTTTTTCCTGGCTTGTCTTGCTGTGTGACGCTAGGCAAGTGCACCCCCCTCTCTGAGCCTCCATCTCCTCCTCCAGCCAGCGGCCATCACCACCTCTGCCCTCTTCACCCCCAAGCTTCCTGAGGCAGAGAACTCTTATGACATGTTCCCCAAAGTGCTCAGTGCCAGACAAGTGGGGGATTCTAGTGACTGTCCACAGCGGGAGTCTCTCTCATTCGCAGGACGAGATGGAGCTGGGCTATGTTCAGGCGCCACACAAGACCTTCCCGGTGGTCTTTGACTCCCCGAGGAACGGGGAACTGCAGGACTTCCCTTACAAAAGGATACTGGTGAGTGGTCCAGGCCATGGCCCAGCCCTGAGGGCCGAGGGACATTACGCCGAGGGCCACAGTGGGGTGAGGGGTACAGAGGACAGCACTGGGAAACCTGTTCTTCAGGGCCAGATACAATATGGGAGATACCCACTTCAATTTAAATTTCAGATAAGCAACAAGTGTCTTTTTGGCATAAGTTTGTCCCAAACATTGCATGGGACATGCTTACACTAAAAAATATGTGTGGTTTTGCTGAAATTCAAATTTAACTGGGGATCCTGTGTTTTTATGTACTAAATCTGGCAGCCCTAGATGGAGGAGGCAGGGCGGTACAGCAAGAACACTGGTTTTGGAGTCAGAGCAACCCAGCTCTGTCACTCACATGCTGTGTGACCTTGCATGAGTCACTTTCCCTCTCTGAGCCTCAGTTTCCTCATCAGTAGCATGATATTACAGCCCTAGCCTTGGGTATTTGTGAGACTTCTTTATGCCTACACCGAGGAAGCATCCAAGAGAGTTAGTTGGTATTATGATTGGTAATAAAATAAAGAGGGTATCTCAATGGACCCCTTGAGGAAAGAGGGGAGACTCCCTCGATGTCATAGAGAATGGAAGGCCTCTGCAACCCCTCACTGGATCCCACCGGTAGTAGGGGCTCTTATCTCATAACTTCTGAGAGATGACTCTCCCCTTTTCCAGAGTTGAGAGACTGAGGCTGGAGGGTCATCACCAGCCTCTTGGTCCCCAGGGACAGGCCAGATACCTGCTCTTGGGCTGGACTTGGCAGAAAGGAGGTGACCATAGCCTCCGGCTCCATGTCTAATGGCGAATGCAGGAGTGACCAGAGCCCTCTCTACTGTCTTCCTGTGACCACGGGGAATAACGTGTTCTAATATGGCCTGTGTGTTTCCCAACTGTGGCCACCGTGCATGCATGACATGTCTTTGACCCAGTATTCCCATCCGAAGAATGGGAAGCCACTCCCACCCCATCTTTCGCGAGCTCGGAACCCAGCAAGGTGGTTCAGGCTCTTCCTGGTGAGTGTCCCCTCTTCTGTCCCGCCACCCTGACTCAGTTTCCCCTACCAGGGTCCAGATTTCGGCTATGTGACTCGGGAACCACAAGACAGCTCTGTGAGTGGCTTGGACTCCTTCGGGAACCTCGAGGTCAGCCCCCCAGTGGTGGCCAACGGGAAAGAGTACCCCCTGGGAAGGATCCTCATTGGGGGCAACCTGCCTGGGTGAGAGGGGAGCAGGGAGCGGTGTTCCTGGGATGGGGGTGGTGATGGTGGCTGGGGGCGGTGAGGGGCCATTCCACTCCTCAAAGGGAACCAGAAAGAAGGCACGATTAGATTGTAATCGCGGATGTGGTGGGGGTGGGGGTAGTAGGCTGTTCAGCAGGCACTGTCCACAGTTACTTCAGGGAATCTGAGAAGGCTAGAGCCAACTGGGACCTCAGAGATCATTTAGTCCAGCCCTGGTATTTTACAAGTGGGCCCAGAGAAGGTGAGTGACCTGGAAAGGTCACACAATAGACAAAGTGATGACTCGACTTAATGTCTTCTGATTCAGAAAATAAATAGATGTTGCTATCAATTCACCATTACAGGAGAAAAAGCTTTAAGCCTCAACAGTCCTGGGAGAAATTGCATTTAAGTCAAACCTTGTTCATACTATGAGGTAAATGACTAATATCAGGCCTTTTCCTGAGATCAGGAAAAGGGAGGTATAGGACATGAAAAGTGAGATGGCACTGACACACACACACACACACACACACACACACACACACACACAGAGTGATAGATTATGTCTCTTATTCAACATGTGACTCCTGGGTACTGATGGAAAAAGAAAGGGAATTATATGGTAATGGTTATTTGCTGTGGAATAGACAAAGACATAGAGCCAACCAAATTCAGCAAAGCAGTTAGAACAGACTTGGGATCAAATAACTGATGGATCAAGAGGCTTTGGGGGCTGCCGGTTAGCTCAGGTGGTTAGAGCAGTTGCTGTGCTGGTTCGATCCCCACGTGGGCCACTGAGCTGTGCCCTCCACAACTAGGTTGAAACAACTACTTGACTTGGAGCTGATGGGTCCTGGAAAAACACGCTGTTCCCCAATAAAATTTTTTTAAAAATTAACTTAAAAAAAAAAGAAGCTTTAGAAGGACTAACCGCCCTCAAACACATGATCCCACAGAAGGAGGAAGTTCGGGCTATGCCATGAATTATTGATAGACTCTTCTTCAGAAGGCAGTGAGGCCCCTCGGGGGTTGGTCTTGCCCACCTCTCTTCCCAGTGATGTACAGGAAGGTGAGGCTGCAGCTGGAGAAATGCAAAATAAATTCAAAGAGGAACCACCCGGTTATGGGGGACAGAGTAGAGGGCGAACTCAGTCTCTTTGAGGATGTGAGGATGGGGTCTGAGGGTGTTTCTGAGGATTCGACTGGATGGCGAGACCGGGGTGGGTCACTGACCTGGTGTGATTGGCCTGTCCTGCGTCTGCCTCATTGAGAACTCACCTTGAGTGGAATTTTATAATATATATATATAGTCTTTCCTGCTTGTGCAAGCAATATATGTTTTGGGGTGGGTTTTTTTGTAGATATTGCAGAAATCTTAAACTCTTATCATTCCATTTCTGCATAGGTTTTTGTTTTTAGTTTTAGTTAAGCAACTTTTTTTTTAACCCCTTGGGCCCCAGGTCGAGTGGCCGCAGGGTCACCCAGGTGGTGCGGGACTTCCTTCACGCACAGGGGGTGCAGCCCCCTGTGGAGCTCTTTGTGGACTGGTTGGCCGTGGGCCACGTGGATGAGTTTCTAAGCTTCGTTCCTGCCCCTGATGGAAAGGTGAGGACTTGGGTGACATGACTGTCCCGTGTCTGGGTCAGAGGGTGAGTTCCAAGGAGCCTTGCTGAGGCCAGGGAGCTTAGCTGAGTCTGCTCTCTCCACACAGGGCTTCCGGATGCTCCTGGCCAGCCCTGGCGCCTGCTTCAAGCTCTTCCAGGAAAAGCAGAAATGGGGCTACGGCAGGGCCCTCCTGTTTGAAGGGGTTGGTGGGTACCAGTGCTGTGTCCCTCATCACAGCTTCCCAACCTCCCTCACCTAAAGCAAGACACGTTGTGGCTTGAGAGCGGGACGGCGAATTTTAAAGCAGGGCTGTCCCCTCAAAATTCAGGAACCCCCACTCCTGCCACTGCGCTCCTTGTTGCAGCAGCCACCATTGCCCGTGGCTGGGGCAGAACTGGCAGGGAACACCATGGTGGGTGATGGGCCTGGGGTGGGCATGGACAGAATGGATACACTGCCAGCTTCATGGGCATGTGACCCGTGCAGCCACACGGCCCCTTGTTTGGGGTTTAATGCTCCACAGTCACTGTCTTGAAATTCTTAATAATTGGGGCATTGTATGTAAAATCTGATTGATCAAGGCAGCATCTATTGGGGGTTTGGAGGCTGGGCTCATGAAAGGTCCCATGAACAGTCCCCCCTCCTGTCACCTCCTAAGGTAGAGCTCCCTCCGCCCACCCCGCCTTTCCCTGGAGCCTCAGCCCCAAGCGTCCCCTCCCTGCCCCTGCCCAGGGACCGCTGCAGGTCTCTGCCCCCAGCGCAAGCCTGGGTGTTGGAGGGTTGGGCGCACGTGCCCCTCAACACCTCAGGGCGGGGCCTGGCATCAGTCGTCCCTGTCTTGGACACGGGCAGCGCTACGGGGCACGCCATGGGCAATTTGGTAGGACTGAGCCTCTCGCCCGTCCCTGATCCCAGTGGGCACCTAGCATATCCCGGTGCAGAGACTGTAATACCCTTGGAGATCACCTCTTCGCCGTTGCTGGGTTGGTGGGCCTCTGGGAAGGAGAGATGTCCGGCTCCATGTGCGTCCCGCGGCTCGCTGGCTGGGATGGGCCAAGACCCAGCTGGGGCTCCTGGTGCTGTTAGGCTCCACACTCGCCCCGCGGTGTCCCCATGCCCATAGGAGCTCGACATCAAGTAGCACCATGACAGGGCAAGAGAAAGACCGTGGAAGAAAGAAAAACCTTTATATTTTAGTACCTTTAATGGTACTTTTTTCCTACGTGGGAGGTTGCTGGTTGGGGCTGGAGTGGGTGGGTAAGCTTGCGGGGATGCCTGTCAAATTCCTATTCCTACCAAGACTGTGTGACTCCTAGGGGGTCCTCCCTCTCTGACAGGGACCCTGGGGATCTCAGAGTAGAGACCCTTTGGCTGTCAGGATGGTAGATTTTCTTGGCCAAACCTATTCCGAGAGGAAAGCTTCTGCAGAACTTAGAAACTCCCAAGTGTAACTCCCCACGCCCCCTTTCTCTCCATTCACTACAGTCACCCCCTCCCAGCACAACCCTGGGGCCCTGTCTGAGCCTCAGTTTCTTCATCTGTAAAGTGGGGATAACAATGCCACCCAACCTTATGGGGTTGCAGTGAGGGTTAAACGGGGTACTGAATGTAGAACACTCAGGGCCTGCACATGGTAAGAGCTGAATTAATGGCAGCTGTGAGGCTTATGGGCCATTGGCTCTAGCCTCTCCTTCCCTGTCCAGCCCCATCTCTACGGGCATCCCATCAAGCAGGCAGGAAAACTGGGCCTCTGAGGAGCTCCATGCTTCACCTCCTAGAGGAAAGGGAGAGGGTCCCGTGGTGCCCACCAGAGCAGGCCCTCGTGGGCAGGTGGGTGATCCAGCCCCCCCACCACTAGACAAAAGAAGAGGAAGCATCACCCAGTGCCCTAGGAGGAAGGGGTTTGTAAATTTCCAATAAAAGGCATTATCACTTCCAGTGAATTCAAATAAAAGTCTAAAGTTCACAGCGCTGTGGCCTCCTGCCTATCCCACTCCTCACACACCCAGACTTGCACAGTGGCCAAGCTGAGCTCTCCTGGGTGGTGCCTACCAGTGCCCAGAAAGGCCAAAGAACTGCTGACTCAGCAACACCAGTAGCTGTGAACTTGGCCTCTGCCTGGCTGTTTCCCAGAGCAGGTGGCCCTCGTGCTGGTGTTCCTGCCCCTCCTTTCATGTCTCTCTCTCTCTCTCCTTCACAGATAATGTGCAGGTTGACACCATCTCCATCAACCAGATCCTCTCCAATGAAAACCTCATCAGCTACAATAAGTTTGTGCAGGTACAGGGGCCATGGGCTGTGAGTGCAAGGTGGGCATGGCTGGGGACAGGGATGGGGATGGGAGCCTGAGGCTTACAGTTCATGAAAGTTTAGGCTGGAACAGGCCCAGACAGAGGGTCTCTAACCTGCTCCTTTGACCCAAGAGAAAAGCGGGGGTAAGCCATGTGCACGTGAGGACAAGCATTCCAGGCAGGGAGAACAGCACAGACGATGGCCCTGAGGTAGAACAATGGGGCTTGGAGTGTATGAGGCTGAGCCAGGAGGCCGACGGGGTTCCATGAGGCCTTGTAGAGCATTGCTAGGACATTGGCTGTGGCTCCGAGTGGGATTAGAGGCCACTGGGGGATTTAAGCTGAGGAGGGACCTGATCTGACTTAGGCTCTGAAAGGCTCTCTCTGTGGCTGTGTTGAGACTATATCATGATATCATGGTGGGGGTTGTGGGTGGTGACAATAGGTCCCAGCAAGGTGACAATAGGGACCTCAGGCTGGATAACTAGAAAAGTTTAATCAAGGATCAGCCTCCCGGGGCACAGAGCAGAGAAGGCGCACAGTGTGTCCGGAAGGGCAAACAAATATCCAGCACAGGATCCTACAAGCAGCAGATGCCAAGATGGGGTGAATCATACAAGGATTTTATCAGGGAAAATGCCTGTACCGGGAAAGAGGAAGGGAGCTGGGGGAGACTGGGAGAGCGGGTCCTGAATGAAGAAGAAGGCAGGTCGGAGCTAGAAACTGGGGAGGTGTCACTGTCAAGATGGTGTTTAAAACGTGAGCCTGGAAGAGATCCCGTAAGGCGTGAAGCATCCAGAGAAAGGAGGGTCAAGGATGGAGCACTCTGGAACACTCTCATTTTGGGCCAGCCCGTGGGACAGGACTGTGGGGAGTGGGACACAGGACAGGTGTATTCTGATGAAGGGGCGCCAAGATAAGTTTTTTTTGTAGAGAGTTGATCTGTGGGCACTTGGGCAGCTCGCATGTCCCTAACCAGACATGAACCCTAGGGGGCTCTGACACACGTTGGCTGGGGCTCCCCAACTCTGCCTCCGCCCCCCCCTACCCCCAGAGCTGCATCGACTGGAACCGGGAGGTGCTGAAGCGGGAGCTGGGCTTGACGGAGCGGGACATCGTGGACATCCCCCAGCTCTTCAAGACCGAGAGGAAAAAGGCCGTGGCCTTCTTCCCTGACTTGGTGAGGCCTCCATCGTGACTTAGGTTTCATCAAATTGGACTTCAAGCCTCCACTCCCCAGAGGGGCAAGATGTCTGGTCACTGCCAAATTTAGGATTGTGGTGGCTGCTGGGGGTGGCAGAGAAAATCAGGGGTCCCATAGTGCCCAGCGGGAGGGCTTCTAGTTGGCTGGCTGCTATGGTCACTATGGATGCACACTGGCCCAGTCCCTTGCTCACTGGCCATTGGGTAAGAGCCCTTCCCGCCTCCCAGGGACCCACTTGATATGGACGGAGTGAACAGATGATTACATGAGGTCGTGTGTGTAAAGCACACAGCATTAACTGGGGGCTCGCATGCCCATTCTGCCCTCCGCTTATAGCTATTCATCCACCCCCCATATGTTAGGGTACCCTGTAGGAGATATGGAGGTGATAAAGGCTGCTCCCTAATGTCAAGGAGCTTCCAATCTAATCAGGAGATGGGGAAACGCTTCCCATCTCAGGTCCTGTCCCAATGATCCATTTTGTATGATAAAGTGATGTGGCAGCTTCAAGGTGGGGTAAAGCACTGCCAGCCTAAGAGGCAGGTCTAGAGATCCAAGAAGCCTTCATTGAAGAAATGGCCTTTGATTGAGCCCTGAGGGTTTTCCCTCCGGTGCTTCTCAAACTTGAACTTGCATCTGGAACACCTGGGCCACTGGGAACCCACCCCAGGGGTTCTGATTCAGCAGGTCTGAGGTAGGGCCTGAGACACTGCGGCCTTTCTAACCAGCACCCAGGGGACACTGATGATGCTATCTGAGGACCACACTTTCAGTAGCACTGCTGGAGGTCACCCAGCTCCTCTCCCCGTATCGCCTCCACCTCCCACCCTACCTCCCCTCCCGACGTCTATCCCCTCCCCACCTCCATCCTCCAGAGGAACTCAACTCACCATCATTAGAGCCTTGCGGGAAGCCTGTCCATACCACCATTGCTTCATCCCCTGCCCCGCCCTCCCCTTGTTCCTTCCTGTTTGGCTAACGTTTTGCCCTCTATTTCCTCACTTGCAAATCCTCTCATTACACCCCTTTCTTCCTGCATGTTTAAGACAGCCTTTTCCATGATGTGTGTGTGCCCAGAAGCTTGTGCATGGGTTCAGATTCTTGTGTTTGCAGGAAATGGGGCCACCCAAGCCAGTTTCAGCCAGAGATGGAGATTTAATATAAGGACATCATGAAAACTGAGGGCAGGGGTGGCTGCAGTGGGGGCTTCAGGAGGACCCGGAACCGTTTCTTGTGTCTGTATCTATCTACATTATTCATTTCCTTCCTCTTCCCTCCTCCTCCGTCCTCCAGCTCGGCTTCTTTTGCTTCTCTGTCCCTGAGGATGAATACAAATATGGCCACATATTATAGTTACAGACACAGACAGAGATGGACTTGACTCTCCCACCATGGCAGCTCAAATACCTAAGAGAGAGAACCTGATTGGTCCAGCTTGGGTCAGATGTCTACCCTGGTCCAATCAGCTATAGCCAAGGAGGCTGGGATTCTGTAGCACAAACATGGCAGCCACTACAATCCACCAATAAGAAGAGCAGTCACCAGAGAAATAAGTTGTCATTGTGAGCTCTGCACAAGGTCCCATGGGAATGCACAGCTGGCTACAGTTCTTACCAGGCCAAGTTCCTCTCCCACTGCATACAATGGCGATGGCACTATTTTCTTTCTTTCTTTCTTTTTTTTTTTTTTTTTAAAAAAGATTTTTATTGAGGAATTGGGGAAGGGGAACAGCGTTGGGGAATTGGAGAAGGGGAACATCCAATTTGTTGTCCTTCAATCTTAGTTGTGGTTGTGGAGGGCGCAGCTAGCTCAGCTCCAAGTTCAGTTGCCATCTGACCGCCCGTCAGCAGCTCACGGCCACTCAGTTCAAGGTGCTGTGTTCAATTTTAGTTGCAGGTGGGCATAACCCACCATTCCATGTGGGAGTCAAACCGTCAACCTTGTTGTTAGGAGCACATGCTGTCACCAGCTGAGTTGTCCTGCCACCTGTTGACAGCTCAGCTTGGGTGCAGCTCACTGGCCCATGTGGGAATCGAACCAGGGACGCTGTTGCTCAGAGCTTGCGCTCTTAACCAACTGAGCCACTCGGCCGGCCCTGCAGGTCGCTATTTTCAAGGCTGCCTAAAAGATAAACCCAGGTCCTACCGGGTATCGTGAAGGTGTTGGGGTTGGATCCGGTGATGAAGTGCCTCCCCTGACCTGGGATTCCCACCTCGTTGCAGGTGAACATGCTGGTGCTGGGGAAGCACCTGGGCATCCCCAAGCCCTTCGGGCCCATCATCAATGGCTGCTGCTGCCTGGAGGAGAAGGTGCGGTCCCTGCTGGAACCGTTGGGCCTCCACTGCGTCTTCATCGACGACTTCACTCCATACCACATGCTGCATGGGGAGGTGCACTGCGGCACCAACGTGCGCCGGCAGCCCTTCTCCTTCAAGTGGTGGAACATGGTGCCCTGAGCCTGTCCCACCCACCATCCTCTCCCCCTGGGGTGGGACATTAGCCCGGGTGATGGAGACTGAGACAGGCCCCTAAATAATAAGTGTCAAGAGACCCAAGTTTCCAGGTGGAATTCCGAGGGTGACCTGTCCTTCTCAGAAGCCTTTTTCCTAGAAGTGTTTGCGCCTCACCTGCAACCCATTTGGTTCTCAGGCTTGGTTCTTCTTGGCCTTCCAAGAAGGAGGCCCTCATTTCTTGTGGGCTCTCATGCAGATCAACATGACCCATGGGGACTCCTCCAAACACCCCCACCCCTCAAATCCTCCATTTGGGGCCAAAGCCACTTTGAGGTCTAGAAACATCCATGCATCTCATCTGCCCTTTTGGCCTGTATGTCGCAATGGAGGAAGGTCTGCCTTGGTCTAATTGCCTGTCACTCTGCAGGGGAACAGCCCCAAAGTCAAATCCTTCCCCATTAGAGAGATTCCACCCATAGGGAAGGAGCTGGGGTTGGGGGTCCACTTAGCTCGAGGTGGGACCATCATTCCAGCTGCCAAGCTCACCTGATCAGATCTTGAATTCTGTACCCTGCCCAGTAGCCATCATGAGCTTTCAACATAGTAGGTGCTTCTAGCTGCATGTTTGAGAAATGATAGTTGTCCCTTAGTCTTAGAAATTCCCCATGATACAACCCAGAAACCTGGCTTTGTCCACAAACCTCTGGCATTTCTCGGAGATGAAAGTACCTGGGGAATCCCTGGAGATTGGGAAGACTGGGTGCAAGGGTGGAAACATCCTTCATAACACACAGGGTGTTTCGTTAGCCCTGGGGCCTCCCTCTGCAGAAGGGGAGACCCCTGGCAGGATTAGTCCTAGGCTTTCTGTTGGTCAGCGTTCCGATATCCTGCTATGCCACGGGGTGGGGTGGGGGTGGGGGGCAGCTACAGGGGCCAGATCACTGAGATAGCTCGCAACCAGACAGCCCTGGGAATGAACCGCTCTGAGTGCAGGGGGCGTGGGAGAGGTGGGTAGATGTTTTTCTCCAGGTGTGTGTCAGTTACATATGTGTTCTGTATGGGACCAGCTGTGTTTCCATCACTGGCTAATAAATCTACAGAAATACAAGTGGTTTGAGTCTAAGTTTGTTCCTTCTTTGGGATTAGAACACACTAGCAAGAACAGGAGTTTCTTGCAGCGGAAGCATTTGCTGGCCTGGCCCCCGAAAAATCTGGGGCTGAGAAGCCCATGTTTTGGTAAGATGGTGAGTTGCTCCATCTTAGCCACAGGATGAGTTGGGGCGGGCATGGACAGTTGCAATGATATGACCGCATAAATGCAAGCCCAAGGGTCAAATGCAAGGTTGCCAGGACCAAGTGAGCGTGGCAGGATGAGGGTATGGGCTGTGGCCGGAAGTTTGCATTGTGCATGTGGCAACAGGGGGAAGCAGATGTGTGCGGAGCATGGGGCGGGCTGCTGCATGCCCTTATCAGCATCCTCCTTCCTGCCCATGGGGAGGCCTCTAGCCCCATAAAAGGGCAGGTGAGCTTGCTACAGAGCCCCAGGAAATCAGTCCCCCTGCTTATCACCCTTCCAATCCCCCCATTCTCTCCAGAGGTACAAAACATAAACACTTAGGCTGGCCCCAGGACTGGATTGCTTCCGGGTGGCTAGAGAAGATGCTACCAACTTCCCCCAATCTCCCCTTCTCAACATTTTGCTTAGATTCTCTGGAACAGACTCCCAATGCTTCTCACATGACCAGATTTTATTAGAATAAGGCACCTCCAGGGGAAGCTGAGACAAATGAGAATGCTGAGAAAACCCAATTTTTGAAAGAGCTTGAGGCGGGGAATGGGACTCTCTAGAAGGCAAGTGCTTATACTTGGGAGAAGTAGGGTGAGCTTCCAAGCAGGCTTATCTCACCCCCAAATATCCTCAGACTGGCCTTGGGGCTCTGGGTGGACCCATCAGAAAACCCTGGAAACTTCTTTCTTCTCCAGCTTGCCTCTCGTGCACTAGGTTGGTGTGGGAGAGAAAACCTGGCAGCCCCAGGAACCTAATCCAATGCAGAGAGGAAGCAAACAAAATCTTGGTTTGAGCCAAGGTTGAAAATGGCCTTCGCGTGTCCACACAGCGAAGGGTATAGCCAGTGTATTAATTTCCTACTGCTGCTGTAACAAATTACCATAAACCTGGTGGCTTAAAACAGCACGAATTTATTATCTTACAGTTCTGGAGGTCAGAAGTTTGAAATAGGTCTCACCGGGCTACAGCCAAGGTATCAGAAGGGCTGGGTTCTTTCCGGAGGCTCCAGGGGAGAATCCACACCCCTTGAGTTTTCCAGCTGCTGGAGGCTGCCCGCATCCCTTGGCTCATAACTTCTCCCTCCATCTTCGAAGCCAGCAGTGCAGCATCTTCAACTCTTTCTCTGGCTCTTCTCCCGCCTCTTTCACTTATAAGGAGCCCTGTGATTCCACTGGGCCCACCTGAACAAGCCAGGGTAGCCTACCATCACTGGGTCAGCTGATTCACAGCCTTAATTCCATCTGCAACCACGTGTGGTCACAGGTTCTGGGGATTAGGGCATGGACATCTTTGGAGGGCCATTATGCTGCCTACTGCAGCCAGCTAGGCCCCAACGGGGCTTTCTAACCATCGTGACCTAGACCACATATGCCCCCTCCGACATGCAGCTCAGCCGCTTCATGAGTGTCATGGAGTCAGCAGGAGAAAGGTGCCATTGAAGGGCCCTCCCTCCAGGACTGGCATTCAGTCCTGGGCCCTCAGCAATGCTGGGGTGAGAGCTGGGACCCCATGGGTGCAGGCTGGTGGATCCTGACGGCCCTGGTGGCTGCTTCATCAAGCCTGAGGACAAGGGTCACCTTCATTGGCCACTGGCTTTCCAGACTGCTGCCAAACCTGCATTGCCTGGTCCCCTCCAGGACCTGGTTCTCAGGTCTGGAACCCTCCCAGAGAGGCCAGGATGAGACCTCGGTTCTTGTGGGTCAACTTCTTTTCCCCCCAACACACTATGGCTCCTCCAACTCAGAGGTCAGCCTTGACTCTGGAAAGGTCAGGATGGGGGTCTTAAGAGAGCCTGAAGGCTGCTGGGCTAGGTCAGTTATACCCCAGCCAAAGATTGTTCAGCACCCTCTATTTATTCCTCATTCTTTTGTTCATTCATTCAAAAATATTCAACGAGTATTGAATTTGCTGCATATACCATGAGAATGAAGACCATTCTCAGCAATCAGACATTCCAGAAAATGCGGACGTTACTTCAAAGAGACACACAGTTATTGTGAAGGGCCCCAGAGGCACCCTGAGGAGGGACTTCAATCATATCGATGTAGAACTCAGTCTCCTTGGTGATAAAAAGAGGCTCCAGGTTGACAAACGGTGGGGAAATAGAAAGGAAGAGGCTACTGTTCGCCCTATCTGCAGTCACGTACAGATACCTTGGGCTTCCGTTACAAGAGGAGGTTTGTGTATGCTCACTTCCCCATCAACGTTGTCATTCAGGAAAATGGTTTTCTGGTTGAAAGCCTGAATATTTTTGGGTGAAAAATACATTCGCAGGGTTCAGATAAGGTCAGTTGGTGCTTGTTCAGTATCTCAAGCCTAGAACGATGAGTTAATTCTTGAAGGAAATGATATTGAACTTGTATCAAATTCAGCTGCTTTGATTCAACAAACCACGACAGTTAAAAACAGGGATATCAGAAAAATTTTGGATGGTGTCTATGTTTCTGAAAAAGGAACAGTTCAGCAGGCTGATGAATAATAACATCTCAGTTGTCCAGCTATAGAAACATCAAGATGTCATAGGGCTGGCCGAGTGGCTCAGTTGGTTAAGAGCTCGCTCAAGAGTTTGAGCTCTGAGCAACGGCGGTTCGAGTCCAGCCCGAGCTGAGCAGCCGCTGAGCTGCCAATAGGTAGCAGGATGGCTCAGCTAAAAAAAAAAAAAAGATGTCAGGTGATTCCTCAGACTTATTAGTGATTATTTTAAAGATGCAATAAAATTGTGTATTGGAAAAAAAAAATATATATATATATTCACTGCATGTCTACTGTTTGCCAGGCAAACTCTCTAACCTCAGGAGTTTACATCTAGGGAGGTAGCCAGTAAAGAAACATAAATAACTAAAAATTATGAAAGTGCCATGAAGTGGAGAAAGTTAGGGACAGGGAGTACAGGGGGTGGCGATCCGTTTTAACAGGATGTCACCTCTCAGAGAGCTGACATTTGGGCTGAGACTGTAGGATGATACTGAGCTGTGGGCAAGCCGGGGAAGAAGGTTCCAGGCATTGGAAGCTGCTGTGCAAAGGCCTGGGGGCCGGAGAGTGCATGTTGCTGAGGCAGGATGAAAAGAAAACCTGGGGGTGAGCAGGATAGAGTCGAGCATGCACAGGCAGTCTGTGCACACACCACGGTCCCTGGGCAAAGCAACATGGCACAACGGAAAGGCCACGTGCCTCAGAGTGGGACAAGCCGATGCTGAGCTGGTACTTCTCAGCTGTGCACGTAACCTCCCTGAGTCTGTTTTCTCCTCCGCAAAATGGGCATAATTACCTACCTGTGCCTGCCTCGCAGAACTTGCATGGTGTTTAAGTGGGGTGCTTAGCAGCACAGTGCCTGGTACATAGTAAGTGCTCAGTAAATGATGACTTGTAATGTCACATCTCCCAGACCCTCCTCAAGCCACTGCTCTTTAGATAAACTCCAAATTCCTACATTCTAATAAGGAACAAAGACCCTTTGAGACCCAGGGGTCAGATCTGGGAGGAAAGGAGGGGAAGGCTATCCTGGCAGCTCCCAGATCGTATCCTGCTGGTCTCAGCTGCATGAGACAGACCCAGGAGGAGGCTCAGCAGGAAGTGAGAGCCTGTCTTTCTCGTGGGGATTTCCAGCTCTGGGCCCATCTGATTCATGTTTTATTCAGAATTAGGAATAAGTAGCTGAGGGGCTTTGGCAGGAAGTTGGCCAACACTGTGGCCTCCTGCATCTTGGCTGGCAGCCCCAGGAGGGCGGGAGTGTCAGGCTGGGGCAGCTGGGGCCCCAGGGGAAGATGGCAGGAAAAGAATTCTGGACAACTGCACAGAGTCAGCACAAACTGTCATTTCCTGCAAAGGCAATGTCATCCCACGTCTCCTACGGGGTAATGAGGGTGAGTGTGAGCCATATGCCAGTCACGTGCCAGGCATGCACCGGACACTTTATACAATACACATCATGTCATTTGCTCTTCACAACAGGCCAACAGGTAGTTACTATTATTATCCTCACTTTATAGATGAGGAAACCGAGGCACAGAGAGATGAAGGAGCATGCCTGGGTCACAGAGCTGTTAAGTAGGAAGACAAGTTTGAGGTTCGGCAGGTGCCCTCCATAGCCTGGGTTCTTAACCAGCCACTCCAGGGGGCCAGGTGAGTGGCTCCGTTGGTTAAGAGCTCACTCAAGAGTGTGAGCTCTGAGCAACAGCGGTTTGATTCCCGGCCCAAGCTGAGTTGCTGCTGAGCTGCCAACAGGTGGCAGGATGGCTCAGCTAAAAAAAAAAAAAAAAAAAAAAGAGAGAACCAGCCAGTGATGAGGCTGGGGCTCAAAACTTAACCAGCCACTCCAGTGGCTCTCAAACCTGTCTGTGCATTAGAACCACCTACAAGACTTTTGAAAAGTAGCAGGGTGAGGACCCCACCCTTGGAGATTCTGTCTGGACGTGCAGCCAGGGTAGAGCATCAGTGACATATGTCATATTGTCCTCCAAAGTATTTTCACCCCTCCCCCTAGGTAGAATCAGAGGGCTATGCTCCCCATTTTGTGGTAACCACTCCGGCTGTGGTGGCATCTCCAACAACCAGACAGTTCATGCTACATTCAAATTTTCTTGCCAGGCCACTGG